TGAAAATTGATTATATGACAATAAGTATGAATTTTTAAAAATAAGATAATTATTTATAAATTTAAAATTATAATAAAATGAATTAAATTAAAAAATGAAGCTAGAAAATTTTAAAAAGCATAATATAAGATCAATGAGATAAAAATAAAATTTAAATACAATAATGATGTGAAATATGTGAGCTATATAATTGACATAAAAATTATTGTTTCATGTAAATTTTTCCTCTTCAAGATATTGTATTTGTAGAATAATAATAGTATTCATATGTAATAATATAAATTCTGTTGTTCTTAATTACACTTTTTAATGCTTCAAAACAATGAGTTGTATTGTCTCATTAATTTAAAATTATATTTAATATTTAATCAAAGAAACTATTTATGTATTTATTATCCTTCTCTTAAATCATTGTTTAAATCATAATCAATGTGAACTGATTAAATATATTTAAATTATTAAAAAATATTTCCTTTATTAAAATAATCAATCATGAATTTGTTTTAAAACGGCATATATTAACAGTTTAATTAATAGACAGTAATATAAAAGAAAAAATTTAAGCCTTATATTATATTTGATTCACAATCAATAATATGACAATGGGAATAAGTAAATTATTTTTTTAAACGGGTCACTTATTCCTAATTGCATTTCTTGTTTTGCTTGTATGGCTACATCATATATAATGAGCTTCTTGTTGCATGATTAAATATGTTCCTCTGTCCAGATAATGATGATTCAATTTGATTACAGTTTGATTACGACATATAACATTACAATATAAATATCAAATATGGGAATCATTAATGTACTATAATGTAACATGAATGGCAATAAATTAGAATTTTAAGTATTATTTTAATTTTTTTAATAATAAACATATTATTTTATATTTTGCAGAAGAAGCCAGAGCATTATTCAAAGAATATGTTAATGCAGTTACTATTGTAAAAGAGGAAGATGTAAGTAGTTACTATTAATATGAATTTAGTTAATTGACTGAACCTATTACATAATCTAGAGAAATAATAAAAAAATTATTTTATTGTTTATTATTAAAATGAAATTTTTAATAGAAAAGTAAGAAGAATCGGGCATTTTAATTATAAACACAGGTCAACAGTTTTAATCAGAATATAGATTTATGATGCTAATTCAAAATTTTGTAATTAATAATTTATGAAATTCATGTTTAGTAATTTTTAATCAATATTTATCATTGTTATTTTATGTAGTAACTTAATTATATGTTAGATTTTATATTATCAATTTCATATTATTAATTAATTAATGACATTCAAAGTTTTAGAAATTTAGCATTATTGAACTGCTTTTATGCAAAAAAGTTACTATTGAAAGAATATAAAGTATGTTTTCTTTAAATTTAAACATTTTAAAATATAACTACTAATTATTTTGAAACCTAATTTCTTATTGAAACCTTGATTCAGATTGTAACAAAAATGATATAGTTCAAATGATATTGTAAAGAAGAAAATTTTTTCCAAATTTTTTTAATATCATATTTTAAGTTCCTTAAACAATTTTAATGTATTTTTTTTTTTTTTTTTTTTATTAAATAAGGAATTTTTTCAACATACACTCAGACTCATTGAATATTACAGTAATACCTCGACTTACACTACCCCGACTTATGTAAACCCAGAATTACGCGATTTTTAAATCTCGTCGATTTGTCTTTTGTTTGAGCGCCACGCAACTCTTGATTACTCACTCCCCCCATACTATTGTTCAGCTTACACGTTCGGACATGTCGCGCGGAATCGACACATAGCTACAATTTATTTTGTGTTATTTATTTCTGTGTTTGTTATATCTACAGAGCCTTGAGAGACTCTAAGTGGTGATTTCTTTTAACTGTGAACGAATCAAAAGACGAGATAAGATTAACAAGAACATTTATTATCTTACGTACATTCGACTTGGATTTTACACAAATTGTGAAATTATACCCCTACTTATGTGAACTCAATTTACGCGGTTATCGTTCGGTCCCACCTATTGCGTAAGTTTGGGGTATTACTGTATACAACATATAGAGACCTTATTGCTGAGAATCATTTTACTACTTTAACTAATGTTTTCAACCTGATCAACAGGCCATCATTGGGATGACCTGTTGATCAGGTTGTTAGTTAAAGTAGTAAAAACGATTCTCAGCAATAAGGTGTATATGTTGTATAAATAAAGAATTGGATTAATGTTTTTTAATTTTATGCATTTTATACTTTTAATCAACTTTACTTTAATTTTCATCAAATCAGCAATTTTTTGTGATATTCTCTTCCATTAAGAAATCTTAAATATGTTGATAAAAAATCTGAAATTTTCACTGATTATTTTCATTATCATTATAAGCTGTCTTTTTTATTTTTTAGTACTAGCATATGCAGCTACTGACTGACTTGTTTCAATTAATTATATATGAAACTGTAATTACATAGTTAACATGTAGCTATTAATTTTTAAACATTTAAACAATGATATATATTTTTATAAACAAATCAAGTTTTAAAGATTTATTTAATATATTAATCCAAAAATTTGCATTATTATGAGTAATGAGATAGCAATAGATGGTTACAGATGTCTGACAGACTATATGATATTAAGCTAAGGAATCTGATAATGATGAAATTTGATATGATAATTACTAGCATGATAATTAGATATTTTTATATTGAAACAATTAAAATTCTTCACTTCAAATATTAAAAAAATGTGTTAAGTGTGTGATGTATTGAGAAATGAAATTTGTTTTTGTATAATTTTTTAAATAGCTAAATCTTAGATTGTCAATTAATATGCCTTCATATTTAAAATAATTGTTTATGTAGAAAGTATATATATATATATAATTTATTTTAATTATCTGTATTAAATTTATTATTGGTTTAATGAATTTATCAGGATCTAGATTAGTGATATTTAGATTATTTATTAAAAATTACTCCATTGCAACATAGTGCTGGTTTATATGAATTGTAAAAGTTGCTTTTTTTTTATTGAACAAGCTAAAAGCTTTCTACTGTTACTTATTAATAGTTACAAGTTTGTGGTAAAATGGATAAATTAATGCATTTTCAATAATGATGGTTTATTCTACAATCTAACTATTAAATAATTTTGATTCTTTAACTTGAAATTGTTAAATATAGTATCCCAAGTAAAAAGTTGGTACCACTTGTTGGAAATGATACGCATGAATTTAGGCAAAGGATATTCATTAGAAATTTTAGTTTAATATTATTTAAATGTACAGATGATGCTGAAAGAGGTGTCTGTGCATCTTTGTGCATGCACAACCATGTCCCATTGACCTTATGTAAAATACTTATGCCAATAGCTTCAATGCTTCTGCAAATACTTTCCTTCAGTTTGCGTATAGTTCTGGGATTGGTTTCATACACTTTCCTGTTTAAATATCCCCTATAAAATTTGCATCACTAAGGTTTCATCATCTCAGTTAATGATTTTAAATGGAACACCCTGTATAATGATTTGATTTTATTAATATTTTATATTATATATATTTGTGTTTTTTAAAATAAATTGTTTAGTTGTATGTATATGAACAATTTTAATTTAAAATTAGCTTTTAAAATTTCAATATTTTGGAGCATCTCTTTTAAGATTAATATTAAGGCAATAATCTATATACATTTGCATATTAAAAATACTTTCCTCTCTTACAGTGCATCAGATGACATATTTTTAAATTTTGATGAATAGAATTTGTTATAATGCTAGGTTAGGTTAGGTTTTATCATAATTTCTGATTGAGAAGACCTGTACAATAGAGGTCAAAATTATTATTAATTCATTAAAATACAAAAAGTTTTACATAAGAAATATTACACAATCATGAATAAAAATGAATTAATCCTTGATTTTTATAAGAAGATATTATTTTTATTCTATTAGATATTATTCTTATACATACAATATAAGTTAAGTAAATGTTTTATGTTGATTTCAGTAAGTTTTGAACCAAGCAATATGACAAAATCATGAAGCTTTTCATATATACTGTATATAAACCAAATCTATTCAAATGTTTTAAGCTAAACAAATATTTTAACATCATTGGGTTTTTCTAAATATATATACATACAGTATACTTAATCTGGATTTTTTTTAGATTAATTTGTTCTGTAATCTTGACTTGCTCTTACAAGTAATCATGCTTCTCTGTAAATGGTGGATTAAGACCTAGACCCCTAGGCATAGATGATTGGAGTGTCCGTGTATTTGTATCTACAGAATTATTTATAAATTATGATATACAATTGTAAAATCGTTTTATTTTTTTACAATTTTAGGGCACCTATGCCAGGGCTGGCCCAAGAGTTTTAGGCTGATTTTAATGTTGGTACTATTTTCTTTTATTACTAGATGCCTTGTTCATTGAGAAATCTGCACATCTACAAGTGATGGTTTTGGATATATACATAATATGTCTAATTAAAGTAATGGATAAATATTTTCCTTTAACTGATGCTGAGTGTGGCACCTCTAAATTTTTGCATCCTAGGAAATTGCTTAGTGTACCTAATCAGGGTTGCCCTGCCTAGGCATGAGTCACATACCTAATATACAGTCAGTTACTGGTGACTGCACATTACACACTATTTATGCCTTTTTTTTCAGATAGTCCCTTCATAAACATATAACTAAAATTTTATTGTACTTCTGAACATGTATTAGAAAGTTAATTTATAAAAGAAAATAGTGTTTATAATATTCCAGATAAGTATATATGCAAAATATACTTTTTCATATTTGGAACAGCATTCAAAATACTTGTTTATGTCCAGTTAAACAATTTTTATACATTTAGTTGAATTATTTTCCTTCCCAGCCACCTTTCTTCTGAGCCTTTAAACCTACCCAGCCTAATAGTGAATATGCTATTTCCTCTCTGTCTAGTTAAAAAATGAGAATAGATGAATCAATTTGCATAATCAAGAAAACATGTTATGTATTTTTTTGATTGTCAAGCAGTATCTTAATAAATGTGCTGTAGCATATTGTAGTAAAATATGCATTCTACAGTATGATTTGCACATGATATTCATATTCTACATTAAATACATTTATTGTATATGCTTACTCTAAGGGTTATACATGTGTGTGATATAATGAATGTATTGAACTAACTTAATTTTGTATAAATTATGCATTAATCAGCCTTAAAGAATTAAATTGCTTATATAATTTCGTTCAAATGATTAAATATTAAAATTCTTCAATTATTAATTTTCTCAAATCTAAAAACTTTAATTATTTTTTTATCAATAAGTTTTGATATAATTTCAAAAAATATAGAATTTTAAAGCCAAAGATTAAAATTGACTAAAATCAATGTTGTTGTACATATTATTTTCTCTCTTTTGAATCATAAGGTGGAATTATTGTTCAGTTAAGCCAGAAATTCAAAATTTACACAAAAACCTTTGCAGCAAAAACAGCCAAAAACATTTGTAATTAAACTTTTTGCTTCAGACAAAAGTTTTCATGTGAATTTTGACTATCCACGGTTGCAATTTATATTTGCTAATTCAGAAATTTCTTGGCATCATTTTGTACATTATAAGAAAATATAGCTATTTAAAGATCTGAAACACTTCTCCTTTAATTAAACTCTGGTTTCCTTAAATAACTGTAACATACTTATAATATAGTTAATTCATTTTCACTCATCAATTATTTGTTTTTGATTGGGTACAGTTTTGATCATTCAATTAATAGATATTAAGTTTTTTCAAAACTCTGCAAGGTTTCTTAGAAATGATGATTAAAGTTGCTTATATAATTTTTATAATATAAAGAATAATAATGAAAAATATCACGTTATTAAATTTACATTGTATTAAATATTTTGATAATAAGCATTTTTGATTATTATTATTTAATTAAACTGAGGTTATATATTATAAGAATTATATATATGATTGAATTTAACCATTGTATCCAAAAAAATTTCAAAGAATTTTATACATAATATACATGTAAATTATATATATATAATATTTTTTACATAAATTACATATTTATGTTTATATTTCATACATTTATGAACATAGATTTACAACAAATAAATAATATTTTTAAAATAAATTATATATTAATAAAAATATGCTTTATATACTTTTAAAATATAAATTTGCAGAGGTGAAAATGAATTAGTTTGTGTGTGCAATATTAAATGTTGTNTTTATTAATACACAAAAAAAAATTCATATTACAAATGCAAAGTAATCTTCCACATACAACATAATGGAGAACGTTTTCTTGACAATATGGTGCCAAAAAATTTGATGTTGTATTGGTTTTCTATAGAGTATAATATCACCAGCAGTGATCGATTTTACAAAAATATTGTATTTGTGTAATCCATTCGAAATCATTTTTGGCAAAAATGTATTAACAGATTTTTTTATGTACAGTAGAGATAAAATTGTTAGAGACCTGTACTTTCAACCTTATTTGAATTCGTATGTCTGCAACTAGTTTTAACTTACTTGTTGCATTGAACTGTTAAACATTTACAAAGAAATTTGAACTATTAATTTAGAAAAAATAATATTTTAAAGTCATAATAATCATAATTTTTAAGGAAAATCTCAACAACAAAGTTAAATCGTTTACATCAAGATATATTGACCTATTAGCAGATGCTCTTCATACTGAGTAAGTTTTTTATACAGTATACGTAAGTCACATTAGATGTGTTAAATTCATATTACTTGTTTCGTTTCAGGCTGTCGATCACATATTCCGAATATGCGGTAACAAATTTATATATAGCAATTGTACAGTTTAAATAAATATTTTAATAATTTAAATCATTTTGTTTAGAATGTAAAATATTTAACGTTAAGGCCTGAATTTTGCTCAGCAGTACAACATGATGAGGAAAATGTCAAAAATACTTCTGAAAGTAGTAATAGTTTATCGTGTGGTTCAAATGACAGTATGGAAAGTGAGGCCAAACAGACCGCGCCTACAACTGATAACTTACAATTAGAAGGATCTGTCTCTCCAATTGTCCATAGTCACTCTAGTCCAAGTATACTCCAAGCTATTGATTCTTCATCACTTTCACTGCCATTACAAGATTGCTATGAAGAGAATTCCCAGTCATGTTGTTCAGAATCTCAATCAACTCCTTTGAAATGGTTTGTTGAACCACCTGAAGGGGAGACACCACTTCCACCACCTCGCAGGAAGGGGAGTGCAAAAGGAAAGGAAAATCGTGATTTGAAAATCCAGGAACGGATGCAACTTTTATGTGAGGAAAAGGAAACAGAGGCAAGTACTGTTACTGCATATTATTATATTTTGTTTGTAGACTATTGCTTTTAAAAAATTATAAATTTTTGCAATATTATAAAATAAAATACGATTCAGTGAAGTTTCTCAGACATTTTTAATAATTTAGTTTAATACTATTATTAATAACTTGAAAAATGACATTTAATTCATCCATTAAATTTTTCATTTGGACAGAATTAATATTAAAATAGTAATGAAAGATTTTAAGCTTTCATGATATGGAATTTAATGAGTGAAATAATATTCCTGAATTGGGAACATCTGTTAGAATATGTTAGTTATTCAGTTCTAGATATTAAAAATTGTGTTTTAATTTAAACATCAAATTCTTGAAATAATTTCTTAAACTATGTGAAAAAGTACCAGATGCATTTATAGTCCGTCATCTTTAAATTTATTGCTTTTTTGATGTCCGTCTAGAGTACTGGAAATGTACAGCACACATACTTAACTATTATAATGGTCCACTTTATTAAAACTTGGAAAACTCTTATTTTATTGCTTCTTTAAAAGTCTCAATATATAGTAAAGTGGTTGTACTTCCAACTACAATGTTTATTTGCATTACTAAAACATTTTTAGAATCAGTAAGAGATGTAAAAACATTTTAAGAATTTGAAAATTCTGTTTCTGCTGTAAATTATAAAGTTCAGGCATAATTTATTTATGTTCAAAACAAATTTTGAGATTTGATATAAAATTAATTATAGTAATTATTAAATGAAAAATTAAAAAAAAAACTTTACACAATTGTTTTAGTAAATATTAAAACTATAAAAGAATTTAAATAGCTTCTTACCTAGCATGCACAGTTAAATGAATAGCACTAGAATTTTTTATATGTTAATTGAAACTATGAATATCTTTGCGTCAGGAGGAGGAGACAAATATGCCTGTGGAAGGAGCTATTATAGCTGGTATTTGCACTTGTTTCTCTGCTCATTGCTTTCCCACATTGACAGCTTCCTTTGAGAGTTGTATGAGAAATATTGCTGTCTTGCCAATTTAGAGTTAGAACTCCAGCATAGAGTTAGAACATTACCTCTAGTCAGGCAAGTCGAAACAGGGTGGCAAGACATGTTCGACAGATGGTTTGTATTATCACACGTCCTGGGGATGTGTAAATCACTAGTAAGTCGGTGTATTTTATTTTACGGAAAACTCGTGACCAAAACAGGAAATGTCTCTCAACTCCTCCTACTTCTCAGTAGTTAAACGATGTTCTTAAGACAAACGGCGGCTCATTGACTGCAATGGCGATTTAATGGTCTGCTTTTCCATCTTTATATTTTTCAACGTAAGCTCTAGCGTTTATATTTACTAAAGATTTTGAATATTTAAAGGATATTTAAGATTTTCTTTTACTGAGAAGAAAGGTTTAGTTTGAATACAAAAAAATAAAACTTTGTATTTAGTTTGCACACCGCTTAAAAACTTCATAAATTATATTTTAAAGCTCTGAATATTTTTTAAACGCTAATAAAACGTCATGCAAGCCCTTTTATGTATAACAATCAAAGTTAGACTATTTTTAAAATTCAATAATCCATTTAGAGGGAGAGAGAGTTTTTTAAATCAATTCAATTGAAAATTCTATGGAAGCACGCTAAAATGTAGCCAAAAATATAATATTTGTCTTAAATATAAGTTGTTGTAAACAAAAAATATTAACCACAAATATATAGATGTTACCGTTTTCAAGTTAAAAAAGTGTTTAGAATGTTTACATACAAACATATTATTCAAACTGCGTAGACAGGTTTCAGTTTCGAAACATTAATTTATTATACAGTATATTTGATTTTCTTGATGCACATGTTGATAGATCCATCAAGCTGCGTTTATACAGTAAGCTATACCATGTAATGATTTACGGCCACATAAAATGGTATATACGTGATAAACATACGAGGCAACTCTATTATATTCCATACTCACTGCTGTCTGTCACACACAAAAGTCTGTAAACAAACTCACGAACTGGGTCCAGAAACGATTTTTCAAAAGTGTTCACCTTATATCCCCCCTTATCGATAACCTCGAGTGGCGAATGTCACCTTTGACCCCAGCCGTCCGGGCGCCTGTCCGGTCGGAATCTTTTTCTTCCCTCTTTCCGTCTGAATGCTGAAAGAAGCATCTGCTTTAGATTATGTTTCTTGCAGAATGAAGTATTTAGCGTACGTCGTCTAGCGGTATAACGAGGGGCCATTCGCGTTAATTAATTATATAGGCAGCCTAAGGCACGTAAAGCGGTCGTCCGTGATATACAAGAAAAGTTTAAGTGGCGCCAGTTAGTACGTCGGGCTGCGGGGTGTGAAGTTGCGTTACAGATTAAAAAAAAGGTTCAATTAAATGTAGAATTGTTTGTCTCGATCGTTAAAACGTCAGGTTAAATAAAGGAATATTGAATTTTGTCCACCCCTTAAGGGAAATCACATGTTTAATTATTAAATATCCATCTTTGGGGAGTTTTGAGTGCAGGAAATGCTACATGGAAGCGTTTTAAATGTTGAAAGTTGCGTTACAAAAACTGCACACTTATCGAAAATTCACATTACGTGACTTAGTAATGATTTAATAATTTTGATTTACGACGAAACTAAATGTCTAACTGGATTTAGAACTGCATACAATCACATAAAGTAGATATTTTTAATATAGCTTTAGATTGTTTGTTATTGTAACTAGTTAAAAATCTTGTTTGTGCAGTTGGAAATATTCCTTGTTAAAATCGAATACATAAAACAGTCCTTAGACAGGAATAAAAATTAGGTCGTTAGAAGTACGCTTTTCTCATTCGATCGTTTTTAAAACGTTTTAATCCATTAACTGTACACTTTAAAAAAGAGAACATAAAATTAATGGATTAAGACAAATAGTTTATCATTAGCAAAGTGACTGTCTATTAATTTTCTGAATTTATATATCCACAATTAAATAAAAAATTCCCTTTCTTTTGTCTCAAACGTGTCATTAATAATCTGTACAGTAAATTTATCGATTTACAATGACTGACGTTTGTATGTCTTGTGTCTAAACATAATGCGAAGTTTCAACTACGGATGTCACCTGACGGAAAAGGAAGTCGTAAATCTATATTAGATCTGATGGTGAACCATAGAGAATTATTTACTCTAAACTAATCTCCCTTTGAAACGATGTGCTATGCATATTAATCATGCACCCATTCAATGGCGCCTTTCCGTTTTCGTGCCAATTCAAGAAATAATTTCATTACTAGATTGCCTTTCGAAGCATCCAACGAAGTCCTATTGATGTTTTTTTTTGATAGACAAGAATGTGTTAAGTGTGAATTAGCTCCCCCCACTTATGACATCATTTAGGCAAATTAGAGTGAGCAATTGTTTCCAACTTATCTCTACTTCACGCAAGATCATCCGGTTTAAACTAGACACAACAAGGCGTAACGCATCCAAATGAAGATCACAGCATGAGATAATTGACTATGGTCGATAATACGATAAGGACAGTCCAATTGAATTAACTAAAACACTCACGATTTCTGATTTATCTGCCCTTTTTTCATTACTGGTAACGCTTGTAATCCTCTCAAATTAGATTAACATCTCTTAAATATGCAAATTAATTTTGTGCCAGCGAAATTCGTGCAAGTTCTGGTTAAGAGAAAGCCATTAAGTATCTTTAATTATCTATTTGCATTGACCTACTAATTTTCTCCTTGAACCAGTGGACAGATTGTTACACGCTCTTTTATTACCGTTAGCAGATTTAATAAGGATCTTGCGAAATTCAACTCTTATAAATTGGAAATGTGTCGTATGTAGAAAATTTCCAAATTATCTTCTCTTCTTTTTAAGGTTATTGTACGTTTGTAACGAAAGCGTAGGTATGTTTTTAATTAAATTTGTACGATTTTCCGCTTGCCGCTTAGGCTTATTGTGTTTTCGATGTTCGACTTATTGAAGACGTATTCGTTTCACGCCAATCTAGAAGTTTCAATAGTACTCATTCATAAATGACATTCGGATAATAATCGGAAAATGGGTTGGATCCCGTTGCTTAGATAATGGCGATTTTCCGAGCAGCTGTCGATAAATTTCGTAACAATTCTCGAATTGTCCAGGCTGAACATATAAAACAGAGCAGCTAAGACATAAAGCATAAATTGCGGGCATAAAAAGGGAGAGTGGAATAACATTAATGATCGGCCTGCACGGACAGGAAGTACGAACATCCCAACAAAGTAACCCTATGCCACGAGAAAGCTGTAACACTATCCGATAAAGTACGACGACTACTCAACTCTAATAGACCGCAGCCATATATAGTGTGTCCTCTTCTCCCTTCTACGTGATAGATGTCTCCCTAGTTAACCGAAGCACCGGAGATCGTTATCTGGGCCGTCGGCAGCGACCGTCCGGAGCCGCTGCTAGGCTTTACATTCCGGTAATGTTTGGCTTTCAACGGATTTCGGCAACTGTGGCATGCGGTCCTTCTAACCGCCCAACCTCTTCAACACGTGTTCGCTCCCAAACCATCCGTTACTGGAATAGCTCTGTCATCCATCGTCTGTCTCGCTTACGACTCCTCCCTTTTACTAGCATAGGTAGGCTATGGTTCGACCCTAAGCACGCACGTTATGCCGACAGCACATTCATCAACACATTGTATTCCCGTGGACCAAACTGAGTAATCTAACCCCTTTTGATACAAACTAGAATTCCGAGACACGCAAAACCTTCTTACTTAACCTATTAAACCGCTATCATTCCTGAGTCGGAAAGGTTATTCAAAGTTCCTTCAGGTGTTGCTGCTTAATTTAGGATCTTCTTTCTTAAGTTTCGATTCTTCAAACGCTTTGTATTAAGAAATCGGATTCTTAACAACATTACTTACGAAGAATATTAACAAAGGGCTTATTATTGAGATATCAAATCTAGAATTCTTTCAAGTAGAACGCTATAGTACTATATATAATGTATTTATAAAGTAGACGGAGGTCACGTCAGTTAGTCACGACTTTCCGTTTCGCAAAGTGGACGATCCATCTCTTTGATTGTTCCGCTGAACTTGGTCGGAGACATCATCCGATGATAATGGTTGCAAGAACCGAATTGAGATGTCATGACACATGACGCACACCCGCCCTATACCTGACTCGATGGGAGGTCCTCTTTTTCCACTCCAAATTTTTAGGTGTAATTACAACTGTCCCGACCCTTGCTTTCGAAATGTGCTGGTAGAACAATTTGCTTCTCTTATGATAGATTGGCGTTAACTTTCTTTTATGCCGACTCAATTTTTTTTTTGTTCCTACCTCTTTAAAAGGATCGTGATTATCTTTAAATCGGAATGATTAAAGAAGAAAGCGGCCATTCTTTCTTTTTTCGTAGTGTATACCTTAAGAAAAAAGGTCGAGGTAAAACTGGGGTAACAGTTTCTTAAAATCGTAGCATTTAAAAGCGAATTTTATTATCTAAACTGCATCCTTACGTAAACTCGGATCGTGTGACACGTCAGTTATCCCGAGGGGGTGGAAAAGAAAAACTTGACAACTAGCGGGGAAGAGACGGTTTATCTTGGTAACAACCCTGGTCATTAGAACTCGATGCTTTTTACAGTCCCCGTTGTGGCCGAGGGCGAGTATAATTGTGGCCCCTGCCCACTCTAATCCCGGGATGATTGATGGGAGTGTCTGGACTAGGAAGCGGACAGGTGGGCGCCCCCAAATCTCCGAATATTTAAGTAATTGATAGTTGACAAATGTTGCCCACGCGTCCCTATAAAGGAGGGCAATCTCTGAATTTCGTATCTCTCCGATTAGATTGTCCACCTCTCGTCTTATCTGAAGATAAAGTGTTTCTTTTTTTTTCTATTATTATTATTAATTTTTTTTATTCCAGACAAGCTTGAAGTCTTTCTAAACACGGTCGCAAATGCGAGTAGAATTGTAGGCGATGTAACGGTGACATTGGCGAGTAGTCGAGCATTAATAGAATAAATAAATTATAGTCGAAGTTTTGCAACGGAAGATTGATGTCGGAAACGTTTCAGATTGTCATTTATATCGAATAAAAGAGGTTTCCTATTATTCACAATTTACTCGCGGGTTGTTAAATCGAATGAAGGGGGGGAAGAGAAAGGCAAGTTGATGGAAGTCATTCGGGGATGGAAAATATACGATAGAGAAAAAAACATGACATCAGTGATATTTTAGAGACAGGTTTAACAACCGGCAGAATAATAGTTTTTTATCCGTTTTTTACCCGATACAAATGTTATCTGTCCAATGCCTTGATGGAACCAGTTAGCTTGGGAAACGAATAGTTGTGCACCACGCCTAAAGTAAGACGACAACAAGCTTTTCGAATCTTCAAAACGGCAGGAGTTCGTAAATAAACGATAATAGAAGAATAAATTTTAAACTCGTACCTTTCGTTTTAGTGCTACGTTAAGTTTCGTTCCGGATAAAGCACTGCAACGTTCGGGTATTGCGTCCGTTTGTTAATGCCATTGCGTCAAAAGGTGATTTCCATACTAAAAAGGAGTCTCGTTTAAATGGTTGAAGGGTTTGAGAAAGGGTTCGTTTAGAGGTAAAGATATTGATTATAAATATAAGAGATTTGTTAGAGTTTGCCGTCTTAAAAAGAATGTTCTATAGAGAATTTCTTTTGTACATAAAGATACTGTATTACGTGTTTTAGTGAAGGTTCTTTATAATGACTGTTTTAATATATATATAAACCGTACAGAATTTATATGTAGATATAATTAGGTATGGTTTTTTAAATGAAATAGATTATATACAATAGGAGAATAAAAATTGCTTAGAGTTTACGTCCGCAGAACAAATTTATAAGATAAAAAGTGATTTAATGCGTTATATATTGGCAGACGTTCTCGCATAAACACAATATATATAGACCTAATGAGAATGCTGAAGGAGCCGATATTTGCATGGCGTCATTGCATTCTCTTCTCACATTAGTAACGGAAGAGCCACTTCATTATCAAAACCATTGGAATATATGTTATAGAGTTCATTCGCATATTGATCTTGACTTATTGCTTTCCGCTCGTGCGATAACCATTAAATCTTATTGTTCCCATCCATTGGAGTGTGGTTTAAGTAAACGTTAGTAAACATTGCGCAAGTTTTTCCCCTACTCCTTCATGTAAAAAAGCATGGGCTAAAGTGAAGTGACCACCCAACCTCGCGGCATATTAATTCATTAGTCTAGCCGCAGGAGGCCCGTGATGGATGGCCCTGCATTATTCTCGGCGTGCTTTCAGACAGCCCGACTGTCATTTTATCTTGTCTTTTGTCTCACGCAGATTCTTCTTAACTGTTTATTTTGGATTCCGTGTCTAGATACACACACACAAACCGAGTAATCCCAACCTAACATGACAGTTAACTAGACTAAAAGAGTATTTATGAAGGGGGAAGCTTCGATGCATAGAAAATGTCCTTTCACTTACCATTCCACGGCATAAAATCACTAGCAGCTTTCTCAATTTATCATAGACAAGTATGCGCTTGTTCTCCATTCTTCTAACCGTGAAAAGAAAGGAAAAATAACTTAACAAATTAAAAATAGTTTGTGCCTCAAAATTAACAGTAAAGCCAGCTTTAATTTGTTTTTTTTTCTTTTCTTTTAAAGAAAATAATCGTTAATTAATTAAAATTAATTTTTGTCTCCGAGTTCTTGTTAAAAAAAAACAACGTTTTTCTTGTGTCACTTTTGTGTTAAAGTTTCCAATCAACTTTTCCTGATTTTTTTTCTGCTTGACAATATTATTAATTATGATATTGTTGAGTAGGGCGTGAAAATAAGAGACATCTGGTGTCAAACACACTTATGAGACATTTACATAAAAAGGCTCACGAAGCATTATTGCTGTACACTTTGTAATTTGAATCGATATTCCCGATTTTCTTCCAGTAATTTACTCCAAGTTTCTACTTATGTAGGATTATTTAGAAGATAATGTCTTTTTCCAGTAATTATTGACTGATTTTTTTTATTTATTTATTTTTCATGTTATTCCTGATGCCGTCAAGGATTTCATGTCCGTAAGTAGCAAAAATATATTCACCCTCTCATTTTTTTTCTATTTTCGTTAATAATTATAGTTTTTATTTCTTCAGTAGAATTATAATTTTTTATTCCTTCCTTCTTCTTTAGGTGTAGCGTACAGAAATTCAATTAAATTTGTTTAAAAAAAAATAACATAAATAAATAACGTTAGTGAATAGCGGTACTGCAAGGTGGAAAGTTTCTTGCAGAACGAATGCAAAAATAGGAGCGGGAACCGGTACAGAAAGTTAAAGCCATAGGGCTGAATCGAGATAAATCTGCCATATTTAATTAATCTAAAATTGAGTCAGTAGCTGCAGGAAGCAGCAGCCCGTTTCATTCAGTGTTTTTCAGATAATTAGGCGTAACGAGGTGCGTTCATCTCCGTTCGGAATCTGTAGGGGGGCTATCCACGCGTGGGAACTTGGTGACAATTCGTAGCACCCCAGGCAAGGCATGAAATCTGTCATCAGTTCCATCATTAATGCTGTAACGTCTCTCCGCATACCAAACTTCCTATTACTGTCTCTCTTTATAGTTTTCTCCTCCAATTTTTTTTTTTAATTTTATTTTAATCGTCATTCGTCGTCGTCGTCTTTTGAATGCCGCTAAACACACTTGTTACCGCAGCATTTTCGATTCGGAACAAAACGATCATTAAAATTATGAGTTGTAATATACTTAAGTACGAATTTTACGACGTGAGAATTATTTAAACTACTTTCGAGATTCGTTTCTTCTTAAGTAGGATTAAGTAAACATTTTATAAGGCATTTGTTTGAGATTTTTATTTATTTTCTTCTGAAATTTATGTGGTAAATCCTTATATTAACTCGAATTTATTTCCTTTTTTTTTTTTAATATTCTCGGCTTGTTGCTGCCTTTTCTCTGAATGATGATACTGGTTTGGACACTACATCTTAGGGGGTAGGTATTAACTTTATACTCAGATAACTTTATTATTAATTATTATTTTTATTATTATTAATGATTACAATGTTTTAGTTTATTTAACATTCTGGGCTTCTCTACATTCTATAAAGCTGTTTCTCCATTATATTTTGTATTTTGAGGACAATTTAAATTCCTTTTTTTTACTTAATTTATTCATTCTGAACCTTAAATATGAGCTTAATATGACTGAATATTATCAGGTACTTCCGATGTATATAAATCAATGCATTCTTAATCGATTTAACGATTATAGTACTTAGAAAAGATCATTTAGGGAAGGTCAATCAAGATTTTTGTTGACAAAAATTCATAATTAGAAACTCGGCTTCCAATACGGAATTCGAAAAGGTCAAAATTCGTAGAGAAGGCCAGAAGAAAAATATATGTATTATTATTTCAATGTTTACGGTACATTCACTTAATGTTTCTCACATTACCTACTGTCGACCTCTCTCCTTTTGCGACCCTTGCTGCAACCATCTTCGACCCTGGAAAACTGAATCCCGCTGGGACTCTGCCTCCCTGCAGTTCGTAAGTATCCCGACTGGTTATCTTTCTTTTGGATAAACTTTTTCGAGAAAGTTTTTTGGCAGGGTGCACAGGTTTGATTTACGTCATTGTCGAATCGAGTTTCGAAAGGTTAGTTTTGTTATGAGGGATACAACTATATTTTTCTCCCGCAGGATTATAAATATCCTGTTTGACGTTGATGACATTCTTTACAGAGATAGCTCTGGCTAATTAAAAGCGTCTTTTTAAATTTGTAACGGATTAAGTTTTGATATCGGATTTTATTGGGCGACATTAAATTCTTTCCCTCATAAACTTTTGATTTTTTCGTAGTTACTATGTTTCATATGGGGGGAAAGAAGGAAAAGGTAAGCTTTTATTAAGAATCCTCAAGTTTAATGTCTCGTGATAAGAAAGTTTTTTCAGAAAAATTTTTTTTTTAACTTCATAAACTGATAAAAATATTCGATATTAATATCCGCGAACATTTTAGAAATGTTATGAATCTGTCAATCCTTCTTTTTCAGCTAAGATTGTCAGAATTTAAATAGAAAACTACCGTTTAATTCGATGTCTGTCTATCATACTCGCGTAGAAGTGATGCCGCTTTTAGTAAAATTGAATTTTTTGCAAAGCTGTTGCCCTGTTTTTACTAAAATGTATTGATGACTGTAACAGACCAGGAGTTATTGTCGACAAGAACAGTTCTATCCGGGTGTTTTTACAGTTAGGGTGAAAACGTATGACAAATAAACAAACTCCACTTCACTCCCGTACTTAATAGTTAGCACAGGCTGAGCTCTGATTGCATTAACAGACCAAAAAACAAAAAAGAAAAGAAATATGCTGCTTATAGGTAAAAGTCCAGCGTGAGGAAGTCGACACAGTTTTACGCGGGTCACACGACACTTCTGCACTTCCCGTTAATTGTTGTGTTAGAATAGGAAGACTGTCCATCTTGCTGTCAGTTAGCCAGACCACTCGTCTCCACTTTGGCTCCTGGGGTCTGAGTGTCGTTTGTTTCTACATCTTCCCGCCTCCGCTGACCCTTATGGCTTGTAAGATTATGTTCGGCATGTTGGGAAGTGTGGATACAATTTTAGCCTCTGTAAATAGTGTCCGGTCGAAGAGAACTCTTATAACTAACGTTGGGCTGTCAGCATTATTTAAAATTCCCATCAACAGTTATTTGATTCTGGCAGGAAGATGGTAGAATGCTTATTTTAGTTGGGTCGTGCTTGAAGAATCTCCGAGAATGCTCTAAGGCGCGGAGTAACGTATTGTGTGTTGAAGAAAAATTGATTGTGGTGTAAATTCTGTTATTTTTTTTTTATTATTATATCAATCCAACGAAACGTGGCGCCATCTTTTATTTGAATGGCACACTAGAAAAGAAGACATGCCCACCAATCTTATTTATAAAGGTGAGCCCCGAATTCCCTCAATAGAGAAGAAGTCGAGTTGGAGATAGCGATCGTCTGCAGAACGAATCAAAAGACGGATTGCATCCTCTAACACGTCTCTATTGGCGAAACACACAACGGACGGTTAAGAGGTCTGGAAAAACAAACTTCACCCGTGGGGGGTAATTGAAATCAGTAGGGGGTGTTGTCCCCATCGACCTCGACCCTACCTGTCGCCGAAAGTCAAACAGTAATTAGGGACCGTAACCAAATGGGTGGCCCTCGAACGTAAGGAGGGGAGGAGTGGTTAAACTATTGTCTGAGAGCGCGACGCCGTACAAATTGATCGCACGACCCGCCACGTTGTGCACAGGTGGGCGAGTCTGTCGTGTAAATCAACGACGGACCCACTGCCGCGTTGAGTAATAGAGGGACAAGCGATACCGGCAGTCTCCTTGCTAGACTCACTACTAATTCCACATGTTTATGCCGCTTGTGTTTGGACTGGGAGTTTAAAGGATCTTCCACGCCAGGCGAATTTTGTTTTTGTTGGTGCTGGCTTTGATTTTAATTGTGACAATCGTTGGATTCTTTGATTACCCCAATAAATGATCCGCTTGATTTGGTGGAGTTGGTTTATGGTTCATTGTGCTCGGTCGTGTTGTCGTTCTCCGAACAAATCACTGATTTCTTGGGTCCGAGCCACTTAACGATCACATTCTAGGAAAATGTTTTTGGAAGTAAGGCACCTGTGATTCCGCAGGTGGTTACGACACGAGAGAGGCGGAGCCGGTGTGCTATATTGGATCATCCACTCCATATGTTGATGCACAGGAATACTAGTCATTGTTCTTCTACAATAAGATTCGATTTCCCGGAAATTCCGTTCTCCCACACCTCGTAAACTTCATTGGATGTGTATTACGAGTGTGTCCTTTTCCCGACGAATGGTTGGTTACAGTAGGGTTCTCCCAAATGGCCGATAAGGTAGAAGTGTCGATCCTTCAACTTTCACTATCGTTCCTCTCTCGTTCTTTGCTCCGACTCTTAATCCGTTCTGAAGCATGGTATATAGGGGAAGCGTCGGGGGAGGAAGGTCGTAATTACACTAGTCCAGCATCCAAACAGTTTGTGCCCAGAAATTGAACTCCGTGTCCTGGGCTAGCCGCGGTAGGAACAGCTGTGCTCCTATCTTCCCCTCTTTCATCTCCCTTCGTCGCCAGTTTTCGCCTTTATTGAACCTTCCCCCACGCCCAGTTATTAAAGTTTCGGCCGGGGGCTCTTAAAAGTCGGTATCTGGCTGGCTGCAGGTCCCGGACCTGTGCCATATGGTCTCCCCATACATCACAAGTTTCTCAAAAAGAAGAAAAAAGTAATGACAAGCATGTACGGTGCGAAGAGGGGCAGCGGCCATATGAAAGTCATTCCCACCCTCCCGCACCCTCTACCAGTGGCGTTAACCCTCGCTTTAACAGCCTACAACTCCACCCTCCGCGAACATGAAGTTCGACAGGCAGGTGGTGCGAGCGATGTCTTGTTATGAAATGCGAATTTTTAAAGCCGACCTCGAGAATCAATAAAGAAGGAGACGACGTTCGCGACAACACGACGAACGTATCGATTGTGAAATTCTTTTGCTTCCTCCTTACTGGCTTATGTAAATGGCTAGCAATAACCACCGAGTTTAACATATATATATCTATATCTATATATACGTTCGCACCCACTCATCCTCTCGACCACCACCCCTCTTCCCTGCTGGTATTTTTCATCTCTGGTTTTTTCGTTTCGTCTGCTCGAGAAATACTTTACAGCCTCCAACAATTCTCTTATCTCTCAGAAATAAACCCCCGACTGCTCAGGAAACGTTTAAAAATCTTCCTCCTCCACCATACGCGCGCACGAAAACCCACCACAGAGAATGCTCTTCTGCAGCAGGTGTTAATTGTATCGTCACGCACCATTTTAAATTAATATAACACACTGAAATTTTTTTTTCGGGGATGGCTTCCTATATGTTGACACTAGCAGCACTTCCCTTTTTTTTGAAGTCTCATCTAACTTTCCCTTCTGTTTCACAGTGTCTTTATCTTTCGCTGAGTCTGGAGATTTCTTTTAAGCTGTTTTTTCTCCTCAGTAAAGATACTGACAAGAAGAAGATTGTTCTCTCCTAAACGCTTGCACCAGATTCTTTCTGATGTTTGCAACGATTGTAATCAGTAGATTGGAGAACCTCTCCATCGCTTTCACATTTTTTTTCCTTCCTCCTCCTCCTCCCCGGTAACAGAGGTGGAGGGAGAAGGAAAAATAAATAAATAAATATATATATTTAATTAATCCTTCTATACGCCGTAGCGGATATTTTAGTAAAGGAGCCATAAAAATATTAGGGGGCCATCCAGTCAATAAGGCGTTGTGTAAAACAATCTAATTGGTTTCTACTGTCAGACAACAGTTAGCCCGTAAATCAGGTAGAGGGTAACGTTTTTATGACTCTTGTTAATAGAGTGGTAATTATGGCCAGAGAGTTGGAAGTAACGGCCGTGTTTCACACAACAGTCTCTTCCTGGAACGACTGACTCGCCTGTTGAAACATTTGTGATCGGATCTCTCTCCCGATCGTGCTTCTTTAATTAAGGATGATTGCCTTATTAGGAATGTTGCCTCTTATTTTATATGAACGTGCTTTCCTATATTGGATCTGATTATTCGAAAATAGATGCAATTTAGGCCTTTTATGACTCGTTCCACTCTGCACTGCTTCTCATTATCTCCTGTCCTGCTATTCACTTTAAGAAGCCAATTTTTTAACTGCACCGGTGTAAAACATGATAGCTTTGGCTGCTGTTTAATTCTCCCACAATTTCACTTCATTAATAAGAACAGAAGCTTCTTGAAAACATCTATTCCTAAATGATTCTCGGGTTATTATATAAATTAAAAGTCTGGAATTCTTTTATAGATACACATTTTACACCCCCTTTAATTGTTTTTGCGCATATCCTTACAATCTACTACGGTAAATTTCATTTTAAAAAGTTAACTGTTCAACCGAGTAATGGTGAATCTCCGTGCTGATTATTTAATAACTCTTCTGTTATATATATTCAGGAATATTTATTTCATACTATAACATTCATCCGAAATTAAAAACTCTAATTTGAGACACTTTTTGATAAACAGTTTTATAAAAATTACACTAACAATTATGAATTTTTCTATACATTTGATACCTGAAATTGCTTTAGAAATTTAGCAGTCTTGAAAGAAATTTATTGAACAGTTTATTGTTTATTTAATTTAGTATTTTGGAATGATTCCATATCGAATTTAAAATCAATTTTCTTTGAAAGTCAGGCATTAAAAGCTCAAGACTTCTAAATAATAGCCATTATATGAAGTTAGAAATTACAAAGAGAAGGTAATCTCTTCCAAAAAGTGAAGTATTTTTATACATTCTACGAACAATATCGTAGAAATTCTCATGTTCTTAATTGTTTGAACGGCAGCATTTAGCAATGGCGAAGGCTATTTTTTTTTTCCTTTATAGGAGATTGATTCGAGCGAGTAAAAGAAGAAACTTAAGTTTCTTTCCCATAAAAGTTTTTATTTCCTTTTCCTCGAATAAGAAACTGGAGATTTTGCTACAGAAATCATATTTTAGAATTTTCATGCAAATATTCGCTTTCTCGGAAGAATAAAAGAAAAGAAAAAAAATACTTAAAAAGATGTCTAAATTGGCCTCTCTCGAAGCCGAGGTCGGGTATAGTTAACGACTTAAATCCGAAAGCGTCGATCTGTGTCAGATTAGAATCGTCAGGAGCGAAGTAACGATTGTTCCTCTGTATTTTTATTTTTTATTTTTATTTCTTTTCTGAGGGAAAGTGTTCCGGAAATGAAAAGCTGGCTTCGTGTTTCACAAGAACGGAATGCCGTTAGAACGTTGTATACTGGGCAGCAATCGATAAGTTTCCAGCAACATTACAGAGTCGTTTACTGGCCCGGTGATATCTTTTTAGTTTCTCTTACGATATTGCACATTATGTGAGCGAGTAAAATAACTCCCCGCACCTCTCCAAATCTCTCTCCTCGTTCACTCTCTTCATTAACTCCTGAATGCTCGTCCCCGCGGTTGACGAAATTGGACGGAGCCTCTCCGGTGGAGGCCCTTTTTTTCGTGTTTTTACCTCGTTTTAGATTTAAAAAAATTCTCCCCCGATTCGGGGTTTTAATCAATTTTCGTCTCTCTCAACTGCCTTCTTCTTCTCTTTCAGACGTCTCTGCACTGGGCCGCCAAACACGGCAATGCCGACGTTATAAAATTGATTGCCGGAACCCACCGGGCCAATCCTAACGTCAGATCGGTAAGTGTGCGCTTTAGTTCTTTATTCCGCCGCTAGATGGCATACAAGGGCAGCTGGGTAGCATTTTTTGGGATTTTAAGTTGGCAAGTTTTACTCTTAAGCCGGTTGGACGCGACACCAAAGTGGGGATTCTTCCAGCGAAAAATGGCGCCGTACGTTAGGGTTTTCGGCAGCGTTATCGGTTCGGGACGAGCCAAATTTAATAAACGGGAGGGAGATTTTTGGGATGTACTTAAAACGGTGCGTGCGCAATTGGGCAGAGTGCATTTTCCCGGCGATTACCGGCAGTCATTGGTAGCGCACTTAACACCTCGTGCTTTCGGCATTAAAACACACCCACCTTCATGCACTTTCATCAGCTACTCATTATGATGGAAATAGAGCGGGTGACTGGGCAATACGACTAAAATTGAAACTGGAACGACATCTCATCGATCCGCAGCCGGGATTACGTGGAAAGAGAGGATCGTTGGGTGGACTGTCCCGACCTCAGCTGGACTGATTTCCATTTAATTTGTGTGCACCGCTCGCGGGATCTTGTATTAACTTTCACGACATCGATCCGAATAGTTGCATCTAAGCCCTTAACCGTTCGTCCTGTCGTGTTCGTCTTCGCTCCACCCGCATCCGCGTCGAAATCCCCACCGAGAAAATGAATTGAATCTGCCGACCGCCAATAGGAATTGCGGCCCTTCAAAGCCCTTAGATTTGTTAACTTGTTTTGCTAGGGTATCTCGGGCGCAGGGAATAAAAAGACACTCTCCGATAATAAAGAGCAGCTTAGTTTTTTTTGATATAGATATCTATATATATCTTTATTCTTTCTTTTTACTCGGCTACCCCGCCTTAAAAACAGACTCGGTTCTTTTGTAGGGAGACTTTTGTCTTAGAAAAAGTTGAAGGGATAAGGTGCGACCACTTCGAGGGAGAAGGAGGCGTGGTCGGCTAATTAAAACTCCGCCCACGCTCGAGACGTGGTGGACCTTTACTTTACACTAACGGCACTACCACCCACTCGATAATTATATCGTTGGACGGGTTCGGGGACAACCGAGAAGTTTTTCGACCACCCCTGGTCTCTAATGAAGTTTGTTCTCGCTCGGTGTCATTATCGGCCGGCAGTTGCCCCTTCAGTGAAGGGGGGACATCTATCATTCTCAGACAATGGCAGGTTCCCCCCTCTTTCATTTCTCTGTCCCGGGTTTGCTGTAAAATCGACCGTACAGCGGTAGTTTTTCGAAAGAATTCGATCGCGGCTCGAGTGGATCGCGTCCGCTTTTCATCCACACGAGTTCCATTAAGATTCGCACACTCGTTTCTGATGGTTTATTTGAATAAGATTCGGATACCACCGTTCCCGGATAGCGTTTTTCTCATATTCTCTAACCCCTTTTAATCTGTTTAAGTACGGTTTTATACGAGGAAATCGCCGACAATTCCATCCCATCCTTTAATTAATTAGAAGAAAATAAAGCAAGAAAGTTACCGACTGTAAACAAATGCTACCGTTAGTATGCAAATTAAGTAGAGTTTTACGTATTAATATTTAAGAATACGATTCGTATACAAATCTATACCGGTGTCTACACACGCCTACAGATATAGGTGTCCGTTATAGTCCACCATTCACTTAGAAATCTGTATTACGTTGGACGATTTGCCTGCAGATGTACTGTACGTCGAGTCGTCTGCGTATCCTGCGTTATGGTCAGCCACTGGCCTATAAATTCTGTTTTGGCATCCTTACTAGCGACCAACAGGCGAATGCGAAACACGCTCTCGTTTTAGAAGATATGTGACATCGTTAGGAAGCGTCATTCCATTCGATTTTGCCTCGAATGTTTTTCGTTAGAAGTGTGTTAGAACATTCCGTTTTTGGGGATGCACTTAATCATGTTTTTCTTGTTTTTGCAACACCTATAAGTCTCCCCGGTGGCTGCATTCTTAGCAGTTTTAACACACTGCTCCTCGCCTTTACTTGTTAAACATACCCCTAGCGATATGAAATACTAGAAGAAAAATTTTACTGTCTCAATTGCTTACATAGCTACTATAATTCTGCATAGTTTACCGTTGAGTAGGAAGCTCCACCATAAGTTTCCCGTGTGCTGCGGGCAACGTCTAACGAGCTGTATCAGGAGTTAATTGAGCCTTTATTCTGAGCCGTTACTCGTGTATAAGCGTTCGGAATAAAGGTCTGTCCGCGTAAGACGTAACTAGAGCAATATTAACATATTCCTAGTGGAAGCGAACACGGAATTTAAATCTATATCTGGGCGATATTGCTTTTCATCGCCGCAGTTTCAAAATAGAGGGGTTTTCTCCTCCCTTGATTGACATTTGGAAAGATTTATCCCGGTGAAACCGTGTAATCTAATGGCGGCAGATTGTTGGGTGATAAGCTCCCTGCGACAGATGTTCGACTAACTGTAAAGGTTTATCTCGACTGTATAAAGGCGGAGAAAATAAAACTTTATAAAACATTTTATTAAAAAAATAAGACGGGCGCCATTTTAAACGCTATCCTTTCGATATTCTAAACTTTCTGCTTTTTATGCAAGGATTTCCCCTCCCCCTCGAAATCTGGACGGATGCTACATAGCAAATGCATTTTTGCAGGTGTCGATACTATCGAACAAACACTTTTAGAGTTGCACGGGGCTAATAAACTACAAGAGAAGACGCTTACATGAAAATAGCCCTATAGTCGTTGACAAGATTTCGGTACAAAGATTTCCATTTAGATGGGTGGAGTAGGGAATTCGATAATTTCCATCGAATTCTTTACTCGGGGAACCTCTTAAAATGCTCCGTTTGGCTTAATATTTTCGTTTAGTGACAAATGTCGCGTCCACCCAGCTGTACCGCGCGCCGATTTTTGCCTACTAACGGCCTGCCAATTTGGGGGTTCTTTTCTAATTTCTCGCGTTTCTATACCTATATTTGAAGTCGAACTTAATGCATACACACGTCAATCAAATTGACTAGGATAAGGATCAGTGTCAGTCTGGAATTTAATAAAGCTACCGTTTTCTCTCTCCTTTCTTTCCCCCCACTCGTTGCGGACTTGCGGTGACACGTTGTTCGCCCGTGGACCTCCTGCACCGACCACCGTCACTTCAATGACTTCTCGTTTCACGAACCAGCACGTAAGTACAAACAGCTTGTCTTTTCTATTGTATCCGCTGTCAGAGATTGGATAGAGCAACGGATTAGTCCGTTCTTTGTCGGATTAGCATCACTGTAGCGGTAAACAATGTGCCGTCGTGGCACCACCATTTTTACTTTTTACTTAAATTACATCGATTATTAATGAAATTTCTAATTATTTTTGTTGTATTTTCATGTTCGGATCGGGTGTTCGTTTCCTGGCCGAACAGGGGGTGAGTATTGAAATTACTTTATGACGTTTACACTTTTGACACGAATAAAGTATACTACACGGTGGCATTCTCCTTATCTAAGAACGTGGGTTTATTTTTCCAAAGAAAATGCTCTTTGTAGAATTTTCACAGGCGTTAAAATAATTGAGAAACCAATATTTTGACACACAAAATGTGTCTCGTCGATAACCATCAGTTAATAATGCAGCCTTCAAATTTTGGTGACACTTTACACATCCGGGTGGTTGGCATTATTATAATTTCAATACACCAATATGAATTATTCATAATGTCATTTCTGTTAACGTCAAAAGTCCAGGAAAATAGGTGGGTCCTATATTCTAAACTCGCACTGATTCTATTGTAATTATTATTATTATTATTACTTCTCCGCATAAAAGTTATCGAATTTGAAAGAATTTCGAGAGAAGAATCGGTGTTGGAAGAAGTAAAACCGCGATTGATACACTGGTGTTTTATAAAGTGTCAAAAAAAAAGTTTATAAATCGGGGAGAGGAAAAAAGTGATATCCGGACCGGAAATTTTCCAGAGGGTACTGTCATCGGGTGCGGTCAGTGTCCACAAGTATCGACAGAGTTGACAGGTCCACAGCTGGGGAAATAGTTGCCAGTCGTGGAGTGACACGCCAATACCTGTCAAACGCCTGTCCATTCACAAACAGTCGGATTGCTGTTTGTTTACCTCCAGCCAAAAAAATGACTGATGCTCTCTTTTCGGTTGGGAGCCCCGACTTTTCTTCTATTCTAGCTTGCCCTATTTTTAAAAGATGCTGAATATTCTATAGAGCTAGATCTAAACTATATAAAGAGCGAGGTTTCGAATATATAAACACACTTTATATTCGTCCTCATCAATAATTTTAAGAATTTAGAAGGCTGTAGAAGAAGAACTATTCATCCAGAATTTATGTTATTAATGGATCTTTGTCTTTAGGCTACGTTGAAGGAAGTTAATGTTAAGGTGTTGTATCTACAGGAGTTTATTGACCGCGTAATAAAAGAAATACAAAACAAAACACGATACTAATTCCTGGAACGTTAACTCATTAAATTCCATTTACAGATACTTTACAAGTAAAATATAGAAAATAATCTGTAGGAAATGAAGTATTTTAATACGTTAAAGAGGTAAAAAATAGACTATTAACACGATAGAATTTGTATGGATAATTTAGCGGTTGATAGATAGGCATTAAGTATCAAAATGTTTGTAAACAAAAGCAATTGGAGGACAGTAAAAGACGAGGGAAGAAGAAAAACGATGCATTGCAAAAGCGAATATTCGAAAAGATGAAATATAGTCTTACGGTGATTGAATGAAAAAGGGGGAAAGAGATCCGACATCAAATCTACAGACAGGTCTTCGTATGAAAATTCCCTGGGCGAATTTCACATCTTTGCCATTTTTCACCATTTTTCGATTCAATATAGGATTCATGCAGTGGTTAGGAAAGCTTCTCCGTAGAGAAAGGAGGGTCCTGTGTCATTTGCATGCGCGGTCATAGACGAATGTTCTACTCCCATCATCTGTCAAAAACGGATGCTTTTAATCTTGATTATGGCTTCTCTTTTGCATCAAGGCTTTTTATCATCATTTTCGTCCTTTTACGCATGGGAACAAATGGGAGGAGTTAAAAACCACAAATATCCAAAGCCAAACTGGCGCTAACACGTACTCTACAGTAAACTGTTTAATTGATAATGTGGATAAGAGGGATAGCTAGACCCCTGAGTGTTTTAATGAAATGATTCTTGGGTGTGATGGATCGCTTTTCGGGATCGAGGAAAAGTGTAATTGTAGCTAGCTTGATGGATGATGGTTGCCTTATCGCTCTCAGAAATGCCGATACTCTGGAAATTGAGATGTCTTGAAAAGTTGTATGGAAGCTTCGCTGTCTCTGTTTTGTTAACAGAATGACACACTATCGCCTCACCTTTTCTCTATATATTTTAAGCGCACCGGATACATTTCCACTTTTTTAAAACCATTTAATTACCGCACTAAAATTAACTTTAATCTTACAGGGTTATACGCCACTTCATCTGGCTGCCATGTTCTGCCACGAAGAAATAATGGAGATACTTATTCACAGCTACGGTGAGTTGATTTTTAGATAATACAGAATAAAAATGAAACGTTAATAATCGTAAAAATAAGCTTTCTTCCCACGCGTATCATCCTTCACATAAGTCAATAAGATATACTAATTGTTCCTATTTAGGGGCATTCCCCCACTCCAATACATTTATAACTTCCTCACTACACGCTGGTATTGTTAGAATTTGTTTTATTACCTATCTGTTCTTTATGCTTCAATGCTTTAACGTTCTTATTACCGTTTGGTATCGACACACCCTTGACAAAATATGTTGTAAGGTGATGTCGGGCGTGAAATTCAATTGAATTTATCTATCTATTCTTTTCCTACAGGTGCCGATCCTAACATGAGAGACTACAGTGGGAAGAAACCTCATCAGTATCTACCAGAATCCATATCTCAACGTAAGATGCCTGTTGATCTACCTATTAGTAAAATAACACCCAGACGATCTACCGCTATCCATCTTTCTTTACTACGCACACCAAAGTCACCCCTAAGCTCGAAGAGTGTCAAGAAGTGTAAATCGTTCTATCGAGAAAATCTATCCGATTTTACGGATTAATTTATAAAAAAGAATGTTTTGGCTATTTGTAACGTTTCCGTTTTCTCCACTTTATCTTGCATGTTGTTTATAATTTTAAAATTTAATACAGATAATGGAATAGTCGTGTGTCTTGTCTTTTGTGTGTTACGTATCTTTCACTCCACACACAAAAAAATTACTATAGAGAAATTTGCGGGGTTACGTATTCCAGAACACTCTAAAACGCGAAGTGGGAATCAATCAATTATGGGCCTAAACTCGAGGGACAATAATAAATAACTGCTCACCGTGTATAACCAGCGTGTTTATATAATACACGTTCCGTTTTAAAAATCGGGACAGACTTTAATCTAGAGTCCCTCCGGTTGTTATCGACCTGTTTATAGGAGGTACCACGAGAAGGAAGAGAATGAAAAAACCCGGTCTTTCTCTCTCTCTTTCTCTGTCCATTCTGAAGTCCGACACACTCATCATTCATTCTAGTGCTGGCAGGACTAGCACTCGCAACCATGCCTGGATAAGAGCTCGCTTCGCACCCTGCAACACGATCTGGCCCATTCATCACGTTCCTGACAGCTGGCGAAGGTGGTAGTTTGCATGAGAATCGGAGGCTCCTTGCGCTCTACAAACTATAGATTACTGTCTCCCTCGCTTGCTTCCTCCGTCCCCTGTTCGTAGTCCTCCTACATCGGAATCCGATAGTTTAAAGATGGCCACCGTATCGTTTGACATTTAAGATATCCGAGTGGATGCTATTGCCTACGTTTTTCCTTTTTTTTTTAATTTAATAAACAGATGCTTACAGTTAGAGGGGGAAAAATTACTAGTGCCTTGTTACGGTTGCTTTTTATCTGTATTTCCAATTTATAGATAATGGGATGTTAAGATGTTTTACTCTAAATTTCTGACTGGATAAGACAAAAAAAATACAGGGAAAAAAGAATAGGTGTTTGTGATTTTAGATATTATTCTTGGAGGGGAATGTTAAGAAAACTTCAACAGAAAATAATAATTTTTTTAAGGGGCTATAGTTAAAGGTTTATCTTTGTTCTGTTGGTTTTAACCATAAAAGTTAGTCCACAGCAGTTAAAAGCAACACTTTTATGACCGGATGGAAAGAACACTATTCTTCGAAACGAGAAAGACTCGAGTTATGTAAAGGTTAGAAAGCAACCATCACCGAGGTGTATTGTTACACGTAGAGGGTATAGTGACCGCCTAACAACCATCTGAAATACAGATAAAATGGACAAAACAGAGCTTAATATCACTTGTGTCAACAGATACCCTGGCTCAATGGTTTTGCTGTGCTGCAGCTCAAATGACAAGTCTACAACCGATGCCAACATATTTTAACCAGAAAAAAGTCAACAAGAACATAAAATTCTATGATTTTGAAAATCTAAAAATATATAAAAACGATACGGAAAATTCACATAATTGTCAGTTTTTTTAGTATTATTATTTTAAACTTTTTGAAGCTAACTTCTTTGTAGTTTACATACGCGTCGCGATTGTCACAAAATTAGTTCTACCCTTCAGTGTTGTTGTGTGACTAATCAGACAGATGAATGGTGACGATACCGGAAGTTGTCACGGCAAATATCCGTCTGTTAGAAATTAGTTGTCAGAAAGAACCCCTTTTTTCAGCTGGAAGGACCCCTTGTTTGTCAGAAAGATTTTCTGCCCTTTCAGACGGGTATCTTGTGAAAAACATGTCTGTCTTGTCAGTTTTGACATAGTTTGGGCTGTTTGACAACAGGCTGCAGTTTGATAGCTTCAATAGTTGCAAAGATTGAAATTTAGGAATAAAAATTTAATATTTTTGCTTGCATTATCTTTAGAAACACAATGGAGTTTCTCCATTTAAATGATTCATAAAACCAAAACAAAATGAGAAGGGGGAAAGAAAATCATGGACTAAATGTAAAAAGATTTAAAATTACGCGAGCAAATTTGTTCTAAAAGATAAACATTTATGGGGCAATATTGATTCGAATATTTAGGCCTATATTAATTTTTGGGACCGTATAAAACAATGAAATATGGTGTAAACACTTAAAACCCCCCTTTTTAAGTATAAAAATGAATTATTTAAAATTTTATGACCAAAAATTGATTTCGAGCTTAGGAAACATTTTTATCATATTAAAAGGTTAATTTAATGTCTCATTATAGCACTTTTGAGCATAAAAATATGAAGTTTGTTATATATAAGCAATTACAAATTAGAATTTAAGTTATTTTAATTAATATATGATTAAAAATATAAAGACTTGTTTTTCTCTCTTTACAGAATACGAAGCAGCTACAAATTACTGCGTCAAACCGAGTCGTAAGTATAAAATAGGCTAATAAATTTGCAGCATGAGGAGAGTAGGCATGCATTCTAATCAAAACTTATATGTATATTAACCTTAATGGCTTGTGAAAGTAGTGATTGTGGCATTAATAGGAGTTTGTCATTAACCTTATTTTGCATTTTTTTTTCTAAACTAATTTAAATGGATTGCGAATCAGCAACGTGTTGATTACGTAAGAGGGATGAAAGAAGTTCTGTTGTAGCTTTTTAGATGGTAGGAAGAGGACCGAGCCCATAAAAAGTCGGCTAACTAGTGCTAGAGTGACCGCTGACAGGTAACTCTAAATGGTTCCTCGGATAGATTTTATGTCTGGTTGAGAGGAGCTGTGTTTACACAGCGACAATTGATATGGAACAGTTCTCTCGCTGTGTGACCTTACCTATCATTTCAACTTAAGGAAGATCTGAGCATTTTGTAAGCTGAAAAGGTATACAAGCAACATTCTGTGCCCATAAAAAGGTACATAAACCAATCAAAATATCCCAAAATTCTTCATTAATAACTCCGAATAACTGAAAAATTTATTCGTTAGAGAAACCACTAAACAAGCTTCAATCCTACTTTCAAAAAAAGTCTGATATATTTTATGTTTGTGATGATGATGCGTGTGGAAAAAATAGGATACTCTTGTTATTTTCGGGCTCAAAGTGGTCCATACTAAGTGCTGGTAACTGATATATTGCAGTTGGTGTGCCAGATGTCAATTTTATGAGGATCGGTTCTTTAAATGCCAAAGTACAGAAGACCATTGTAGGAACAGGAAAATCTAGTAGATTAACTCGATTGAAGAGTTGGGGATCTGCAGATAATCTCTCGGATTTGGTAGGTCTTAATAATAACTTTTTTTTTATTTGTATCCATCTGAAGCTACTCATTCTATTTCTCATCTCTCTGCTGCAATATTTCTACTTTCAAACCTCTTATTTTTTTACACGCAATTTTAACCTATTCTAATTAAACTCTGCACAAAAATTCGAGCATAAATTTGCATTTAGCACGGTTATTTACTAACTTAAAAACGTCTGTAACGCATTAAAAACAACGCGTTTTATATTTTATATAATGGCCGAATTTACATTTTTTTTAAGTATAGTTAACGTTGATGAAGTGTTATTACGCCCGTCTTTCAGAGGTAACTGTTTTAACCCCGATCAATCGTAAACATGGCGTTCAAAACGTCATATGTTGGCTTCAGTGCAATCCACAGCACATTACACTCCAGTCAATACTGATGTTGTTTAGCTGCTGTTAACTGCAAGCCGCGACTGCACTCCCAATGGCGGTTATAAATTACTTTTACAGCCACTTGTAAACTCAACCTTATCTCATTTTTTACTCACTAGAGCTTCTCAACTCTCACTGTCTGCCGCAAGAGTAACTTAAAAGTTGGTTTATTTTACTCGAAGGGCGAACAAACAGTATTCAAGAAAGGAATAAAGAGCACTTCTCTAACTCGGTCCCGAATGAAAATATCTACTTTATTATTTATTTATTTATTTTTTTACTAAATTCTTACTTTCTTCCTGCAGATTTTATTTTAATATATATATTGGATAATTTACATGGCAGCGTGGTCGAGGGGAAATTTAGATTATCTTCTACTGTACTACTGTCACATAAATCTCCTACCTCAAAAAATTAGGTTTTTGTATAGAAAATTTGGCAATAATGCATATTTTTTGAGGTAGGAATTTAATAAATGGATTTATAAGTGTAGTAAGTCTATAAAATTTAATATATTTAACACGGAAAACTCATAATTGAACTTCGTAGCTGGTATGTTGTAAGCTACTTTCAGTAGGAGTGATACTTGATATATTTTGTTAAAGGCTTTTTTACTTTACTTACACCGTAATAATTTGTCTTCCTTAAACACTTCTGCTAAGCCCACATTTTATAGGAATCCAGATTATGTTGCAAATATTTCAGGACATATTCTCTGATGTATAAAGCGACTATGGTTCTTAAATATAACATGGAATGATTATAGGATTGTAGGATTCGACTCAATTTGATCTGAGTTTTATATATACATACAATCTTTCTAAAAGTGGATCTTACTCTTGGCCTTTCTGGTTTGGTTATTTTAGGTAATTTTTTTTGTGCGTGTGTGTTTTTATTGGAGTACGGCATCGGAACTATTGAAGGAATGGAAGGGAGAGAAGGGAATATGTGAAGCAGAAAATTTGCATTCACTTTTTCCTTCAGCGAAGAAGGTTTAGGGAGAAATTTGTAGTCTGCGAGGCAAGCATCTCAAAATCCTCTCTTCACTCGCCATTTTGCATATGTCCGAAAGACGGATTTTCCAGGCCAGAAATCGCCTGGCCAGGATCAACCCGACTTGTGAAATCTTCTTCTATGCATGATATTTTTTCTTCTACCTCTTTTTTTTTCTATCTGTATAGATTTTTTTATTGCCGTCCTTTTTTCTGGTTTGTCTAGTTGGCTTCCAAGATGATGCCTCCTCCGAAATCCGCACCTCCGAAGAAGAAGAAATTGAAGAAACCAATGACGAATGATCGCGAAAGGTAAAAATTGCTTCCTCTATACGACTCTTCAAGTAAATTCTCCGCTTTCAGAATTCGATTTACAGAGAAAACATTTTGTTTTACAGCAACTCTTTCGGAAAAGGAAAGATGGTAGAAGTTGAAGATGCTTCGTTTTGTTAATCTACCATCGAATATATTTTTTAATCTCGCGCTGTTTCGTGAATATTCATTCGACGGGGGCTTCCTTTTACTTAAAACTTTCTGTAAATTGCGCCATTTTACACGATTTTTTATACTGTTAAGCCCGAATAGTTGCGAATTTTACGATATATATGAATCTCATTCTTCTTGTTTTTATATTTATATATGTACATAGCCTATATATAGATAGATACTGTATTTTTTTATACTTCTTTACGAGGCTCGACGTAAGTAAATTTGTATACAATGAACGAAAGCTACTTACAAAAATCCTAGGAGAAGCGCTGTTTTCTGTTTAATAACCATTCAGCATAATAAATCATGGGAATGCGGTCGTTATGATTCTATTCTCTTTGTCTCGGGCGAATTACTTGTATTGTTATTAATGGACTAGTGGAAAATTTTTTTATCGTTTTTAATTTTGATGCGGTTTAGTCTCCCTAGTTACCATTTTGTCTTAAGACAGTTCATTTATCAAAGCATGTACCTAGTTAGGAGTTCGTTTGAACTGTTGTAATGGCTTAGCCACCATATCTCATAAAAAGTGTCAAACTGAGATCTGTTTTTATCATTCGCTGTAAAGTATCCCCCCGAATTGGGGTCAAGAATAACGTGTAAGTATTCTAGATTGATGACTTTAGTTTCTCGCAAGAATCATTTTAAAATTTCGCCCATTTGGGTCTACAATTTACATATTTAAATCTGTTTCTCTCTGGGTAAATCGGCAATATACAGCAAGCCCGGAGAATATTGTATTTTGGTTTACATTTTACACATTTAAATTCATTTTTTTTCGGGGTATCTTGCTGGGTAAACCGACAATTTACAGCAAGGCCACACACGGAAACTCGTACGTATTGGTACGTAAAGGCGCGAACAATACTGTTGATACTGTTAACGATGTGGAAGACATTTTTTTGTACTTCTTATTAATAAAAAAAAAGGTACCAAAGCAGAAAGTAGTATTTATCGATATAGCTTAAGCACAAGCGTCAAAATGAATCCGGCTCATTCTGATGCGGGTGTTATGTCTGCCATTAATCAGGCCAGGTCTCATACCTTCAATACTAACGCCTTTTCCTCTGCAAGCGGCAAAATGATGAGTTGCATTGTTGGCTTGTCGACGGCAATAAAAAGACCCTCTAACCGCTCCCCTGTTGGAATTTAATAGAATTCCGTGTACAACGTTGGATAAAACAAGTAGTAATATGACGTGTCTGGCTGATAGTTGATGTGGATGGAAGGAAATGGCTTAGTAATACTTTGCTGTGATAAATTTGGGAGGAAAGAGGATTGCGAACATCAACGTCTTGCTGAGAAGTCGTTTAGGAGATTCTGAATCTGTTGTAGTCATTCTAAATATGAGATGTGTTGTCAGAACCGGGATAACTTTTATTATTACACTGAATAAAGCTCGCCAGTCTGCACTCCTTTTAAAATGGAAATATTCAAATAAAGCTGGGAAGAAGGATGAATATGTTAATGCAGCGAGCCAACCGGTTGCAAAACCTTTCATGCCAACCTGTAATACATAAGCAATTTTTAATTACCCGTTATAACGATTCCATTTTTTTTTATTCTTTTATATCGGGGGCGAGAAACGTGTTACGTAGCCAAGACCCAAGGAAGAATCGTGTCACATTCGCGCCATCTATCGGACTAAATTCAAATTTTAAACTGTGCAAAAAAGGTATTTAATATACATTTTAATCAGTAAATTAAAGTAACTTTAATATAGTATTTTATAAATTGTATTTTAAAATTTAATCGAAGCTATTTTTCTTCTATTTTTTTTTAAAATGAAACTGATGAGAATTTGTAATTTTTTCCAGCAGAGGGCAGCAGCTAGCAGGGTGTAGGTGAGCGTACCCTTGAGGAATATCCTTATTTTTAAAATATGGACTCTGAGACACGAAGGAAGGAAATTTGAAGCCGAAGCATGTATCGTGTTTGATACAGCCGTGACAATACTTTAACAAACAAAACATTGTAAATTTGAACTGGGCTGCTATAAATTCTCGGTGCGATACGACAAAATTACTTAATGAAATTAGTTTGTCGTCGCTACTTGTATGTAAAAATCTTTAAATTTTAATTATTTTTTTACATTAATAATTCAGGCAAATATGAATGATTAACTTTCTTTTCCAGTGTTTACAACCGATAAATCAGGGCTCTAACTACGGGGAATAATGTCTGGTCCTCCTCATTTCATGTAGAATTTATATAATCTAAATTGGGGTCATCTGAACTATCTTACAAATTTGCCCTTGACCCTAGCACAGGCTTTTAAATTGAGAGATATTCTACATTTCAACTAAGAAATGATGAATTTTTGTGGAAAAATTAATGATTTATTCTGCAAAATGTTAACTAGGGATCATCAGTGAGTCAACATCAACCCCAGGGACCTTGAAATTTTGCAATTAGTTAACTGGAACAATTCCATTAGAGGTACAAGATCCAGATACATCTGCTCAATATCGGTTAACAGGGCACCGGCCAATGAGGGCAATATTCATTGATCGGGATCTTTAATGGTTTCTTTTTTGATCAGCAACTTGATTGAATAAGAACAGATAACCCCCATTCGGTCATTAGACCTCATATCGTTCTCCTAATGATGATTCGACAGATCTGCTCCCTCTCAAAACGCCCTGGCTAATTTGGTGAGGTAGAAATGGCCCTCCCGATGAATAACTCATCCGGATAATAAAGTTTTTCCCCTCTCGCATTGAGCTTTTTCACTGTTATTTTTGATTACTTTTATCTAATTAATGTTTGTGGTCGCGAGATTTGTGAGTCATTACACCCTGCAGAGTAACAGGTTGAGCCATTCCTTTCAATTGTGAGAATCAAATATGCTAATCGCTCGGATCTAAAACTTTAGAAAGGATAGAACCCTTGTAAGGCCTCCACAAATGAGGGCCTGCAACTATGGTAAAATACAGTAATTAGAGCGATAAATTAAATGTTATGATTAAACAATGCTGTTATATTGCTTAAGTTAAACTATTGTCGATAATTACGTAGTGTAGTGTATTGTTGCCATTATTAATCATTATTGCCATTGATATCAAGTATTGCCTCTTCTCCTCCACAGTAATTTTTCAAATGTAAACTGAAGCCTAGATACATAAAACACTGGATTTTATGTATCTAGGCTTCAGGAGGGCCCCAAAGTTTAGTGTTTTAAGTAAAGGATATTTAACATGAAAATCATCCTGCATCCTGTGCTAGACAAAAGGACCCACCACCTATGTAGACTGATGATGATATGTTTTTACATAACATAATGTAAAATATAAACATTGTACTATTATTCACTAATCGATAATGATAGTAATATTTATGGGTTTGATATTAGCACAGCAACACAATTGATATATAATAACAGTACAGTATTATTATACTTCGAGCCGAATTTAGATTTAAGCTAAAAAATCTACATCTTAGGCCTCATACTACAGTTTATACATATTGCCTCTTATTATATGGCAGAAGAAGAAGTGCCTCCTGTGTGTTTTAGCACATAGCAACAATTTTAAATCCGGTTCCAACTACTACACCAATGTGCATTGTAAGCATTAACACTAAAGTTAATACAACACACAAAAATTGCTCACTCTTTATCTATAGAGACTATATTTTTTAATCCCCGTACAAAAGTATTGGCACGATACATTGTTCTCGCTCATAAATAGCTAATCACGATGCAAATGGAGACCTAAAAAATAACAATAAGAGAATGGCAAGCATATACAAAACACGATTGAAGCAGGGAGGGGGTTGCCAGCATTTGATAACGCAATCTAATTTGAGAGACAGAGTTGTCGTAATAGAAAAATAGCCATCTTGGCATTACGTCCAATTTTGACAGAGGAGAAGAGTTCATCTGAAAGTATAATTTAATCACGACAACCTCACACCGGACATATTGGTTCCGATTCACATAAAGTCCAGTGAATCTACCGGACAACACAACCATCAGATAATGTTTAAAATTCATGAAAACTTTCCAGTTTATGTAAACACTGGATAAGTCTCTTTAATCGGGCGTGAGTACCTAAATACGTGACTTATCACGTCACGTGTTTGCTGTTAGTTTATTCGACTTCACGAAATAACTTAATGAAATATTGGCTTGTGAACGATCAATCTTGTCTTGGCAAATTATTTGCCTGCCATTTTCAACGTGTACAGATGTTACTTGATTTATATCTCGTATTGGTACCGACCGGATTTATCAATTTCTAGAATAATTTTAATCGATTTTTTAAAAAAATATTTCGAATCGATTATGCAATTTAATCAACAAATTATAGATTTTTTTCCGTTAAATTTCGGATAAATCGTTACCATTGAGACCATTCCAAAGTTGTAAATTATGGCACATCCTAGAGCAACAACACGAAATAAAGTAAAATGAATGGCTCCCTCCCGTTGTAAACAACATTAAAAACATTTTACACGATAAATGACTTAAAAATTAAACATTTAAACACGTGAAATTACTCATTAAACATATTAACACGACTTAAATCGAAGGACGATTCAAATTTGGTAAATTGAAATGAAATTTAGTAAATTGAAATACCTTGTAAATGGTATTTTTATATTAATTTACTCCTTCCGTCCTATACAGGTTGACGTTTTTAAATTCGGGAATAGAATTTCTTAGGATTTTGGGGGGCAGAAGTTAATTTAACCCCGAAAACAAACGAGAAATTCTAAGGATCATCATCATTAATTACCATACCAGAAAGAAGGGAAGGGGGAAAATAATAATAATGTTGATAAATATTCAAAAAAAAGAAAGAAAAAAATTACTTGATTAAACATAGAACCTTTTATCAAAATAAATTGACTCCATATAATTAATTATGTTATGAATAAGTGTTTAAAATTAATTATATTGTTTAATATGCATAAACCCTGCAAGTTCTAACTTTCAAATTTCTGAATTACTTTATAAAACATAAGGTATGTGAAGAGAAACATCTGTATTTTATTAATATTTTTTAATTAAATTTCAGAAGAAAGTATATAGAATTTCTATAGTGATTTTTCATGGAAGACAGCCGGTAACCAATGTTAAGTATATAGAACAAATGGGAATTTTTCGAGTTGGTTCTCTTTAGATGGTTCCTATCTGCCATTTTATAAAGGCAGTTCAATATTGATGATTCTCTTTTAAATTTTAAATTCTATGCTTTTGATACTTTGAAAGCCGAGAAGAAGAATTTAAATTCTTTTTGGCTTTGTATTTAAATTTATTTCAGTTTACAATTAAATTTTTTATGATATAATTTACCCATTGCTTTATTGTGCAATTTTAACGAGTTTTGTTCGTTAAAATCGTTTTTGTTCTCTGAAAATATGGAATTTTCTGATGTAGAAATGAAAATTTGAAAGTTTCGGTCATTAGAATGGGAAATTAGTGAGGTTTTCTAGCATTAAAAAAGTGAAAATGTATGATTTTCTAGCGTTGGTAAGTATGAATTTAAGATTTTCTGACATTTAAATTAAGTAATTAACTTAAATAACCGAGGCTTATCAATGAATTCCCTATTTGTATTATTACGAAGGCAGTTGGAGTGTTTAAATTCCTTATTTACTTTTAAAAGTAAAATGAATGTTTATTTGTTACTGCTTCAGTGATGACGTACGATATTTCTAGATATATCCCATGAATTTTTCAGAATTTCTGGATATACAAATTTCCCGTTGATATGTACAGTGAAGCGCTACATAAATGATCACAGAAAGAAATTCCTTCGTGAAACTTAACGTATTTTTTAAATTTTAAATAAATCAAAATATGATTTATTAATTCTTAGAATATTAAATTATTTTTTTGTATTAAAAAAAATTATTCACTAAACCGTTAATTTAATTTTTGTGCTAAAAGATAAAATTGAGGTAATTTGGCGAATAAATAGTTCATTAATTTCCGTAATTTGTCATTAAACGTAAAAGTGCTGCCATCTCTTGAGAGGTTAAATATTTAATGCTAGTGGCGGCGATAAAAATTCGATTTTTTAATGAATACTGTATTTAATTTAAAATTAACGTATTAATTTATTCAAAAAGCTTTTATTTTTATATAATTATTTGAAAGATTATTTTTTAGTAAATATAAAAATGTTGGAAATTTAAATCGATGATTATTAAATACATTTTAGTATTAAAGTATAATTAATTAATTAATTAATATAGTTTAGCTATTGTAATTTATTATTTACGAAATTAAATTTCGTTAATATTAATCGTTGCGATCGCCGGTATCGAAATTATTTCCGTTTTTATTTTATAAACAATTTACAAACGCTATTGAGAGCAAAAATATTATTAATAAATGCAATTATAATGAAAATAAATAACAAAACGAATTACTAATTTATATAAATGTCGGTCGCTTGGCTTATCAATAAACCATTGCCATAATAGACATCGAAGCTTAAAACTCACCAATTTGACAAAATTACAGTAAGTCGAATGAAATGTATATAAAATTTTAAATATATAATTTTAAAACTTTTGAATACGTTTTTATATACATTTTTAACATTTTTAATTCGGATTTAATAAAAAAGTTTTAATTAATTGTTGTTTCCAATTTTTAACACCAGGTAGCAGCAAGAAGTATTTGTCATATGTAAACAAAACATGGGAGTTCGCGGACTTTCCTCCTTTTTCGAAAAGAATTCTCATTTAAGGAAAGAATATCATTTACACGATACTAAAGTCGTTTTTGACGGTAATAATTTAGTATATTGGCTCTATAGAGAGAGTGCAGAGTTCAAATATGGAGGAGATTACGATAAGTAAGTAGTAATTGTTTATCAATACAATATTTAAACATATTTATATGAGTTAAGCTTATGAATTTACACCCGAAACATTTCAATTTAAAAATATAAGGTGTTTGATGATAAAAATACACAAAAATCAATTATCCCAATGTTTACATAGAAACATGAGAATCAATTATATATTTTCATATTAATACAGTAAATTGACACACTGATTCATAAGTTATTCAAAGTTCCACACTATTACAATTTATGAAAGTAATTATCAATTTTAAATGGTGATTAGGAATTGCTAGGATCATTTACACATATTCTCTGCCAGATCAGATTTGTTGGCTCGAGGAAGCCCATAATGTATCATTACTCTTTTCAATTGGTTTTAGCAAGATTATCAACTCTTAAAATTCATATTCTTTATTACTTTAGGAATCAGCTGGTAAAGTTTTCAAATGTATAAGTACTTTTTGGTAATCGTCTGGTAAAGATGTGTGGCATGTTCCAGGTTGGGTTGTGTAGCATACGTTTTGTTGTGTTGTAAAATTTTTAGTCGTGTACATTGTGAGATAGTGTTACTAGATTTTTCTCAGGTACAAAATACAGTGCTGTTCAAAAATTAAATGTTTAAACGAGGCAAACATTAGATATATTATATATATTATGTTTACTATGAACCTATTCGAGTTGGATAGTTTAATCTCTGTATTTCTGTAAGCTTCATACTAGAGGGTGTGTATTTTTAAAATTATTTCAGAGTTGTATTTTTGGATTTTCTATCTTGGAAACCTATGGATGGGTAACGAATACAAAATGTTCTTCCTATCAAATGCTGACCAATGTGAATAAATTATTCAACTTTATTATATAAATATTTTTAACTCAATTATCTTTAACAAAACTTTTATAATTTAAAAACATAATAAATGTACTAATATAAGTGATGACTAGTTTCAAAAATGTTCCAAAAGCATTATGAAAACTAATAAAGTTTTAGTTTTGATTTACTTTTGAAATTATTTTTCTTTCCAATTTGTTTGTAATTTTTATTATTAATCTAATCTAAAGTTATTTATAAGTGTTACTAAACAATCTGTTGAATTATTATTGGGCTGTTATGGCTACTTAATGATTAGAAACAGAGCATAATATAAGAAGCCTGATAATAATACAGTTAATAACAATATCATAGTAAATAATTATAATTAAATTGATCATATTTATCACAAGCAAATTTAAACATCATAATTAGAAATGAATTTTTACCTCCCTTTTGTTGTTCTAAAAGTTATTTTTATTTTAATTATTTTATGTAAGGCATCTCAGTTAACATTTGATTTATTACTTGAATTAATAAAAAGAGATAACAACAGCTATTTTTATTAAAAATTTTATTTATAACAGATTAAAATTTTTTGTGGGATTGTTGATTCTTCAAAATTCACTTAACTTTTAAATATTAAAAAAAAGTTAATTTGCTTAAATGTGTCAAACGTTTAAAATGTTTAACACATTTAAAGTGTTGTTACTCTATGGTTTAATAATTCTCTTAAATACTAATACTACAATTCTCTTATACACTTATCTTCTAACATCATCTTATCTATTAATTATATCAATTATCTTGTGACATTGTGTGACATATTTTTTACATTTGTTTTAAGTCTTGTGATATTATCTTGATATTTTAATTAATTTAATGAGAAACAGGAATAATTGGATTGCAATTTGAAAAAATTATAGACCTATAAATCCCCACTTGTTGTTCGTTCCTTAATCTCGAGAATGGAGTTAGACAGATGAAAGCCAAGACCAAATAGGGAAACCTATTAACTATATATGAATTTCTGGTGCAAACCAGAAGTTATGTTATTTCAATTCAAAAAATTTTTCCCTGTCTGTTTCAGTTTCTATTCAATATTTTGTTCTTATCTGATATTCAAGCAATAATAACTGATTCACTAGTTAGTGGTTTGGTTACTATATTGGTTAATAAAAATTTCCAGTTATGATATTAATCTGTAATAAATCTTTTAGAAAAACAATTAAAATGCAAATTTAAAATAATCATATTATTGTTAACAGAGATTTTTCTAGCAAAATATTATCAAATAAAAAAATCCAACATAATATTCATAAAATAATATAAATTTGTTGTTATAAGTACAAATTTTATAAGAATGACTTAAACAAAGTAATAGTATACTAACATTTTGTTATATTGATTAACAAATAATGTCATTTTGTAAATTTTCAAATCACATCATTATCATCATCATACATTACATTATATTGATATAATACATCAGATTTCATATTAGTATGCAAAGGTAATAGAATATATATCAGACTAGAAAATAATTCTTTTATAGTTATTTGTATTGTACAAACTGCTAAAGCAATCTTAGAATATTTGAATGAAAAGAATTATCCTTTATATCCTCTATTTTATTTGTATTTTTTACAGTATCTTTTATTCCATTCATAATTTATTTAGTGAATAGAAGGGCTATTTATTTATTAGAAAAAAAATATTTTTTGCTAAATGTTTGTGAATTTTTCAATTTTTAAGGGCCCCCAGTGGCACACTCAGGATTTAATCTTGAGGAGCCAAATTGAATGGATAAAAACATTTTTAATCCAAAATTCAATAAAATTTTTACCTTACTCGGCTGCTAATTCATGAGTACTATGTGACACACCATAAATACAAAAACTATAAAATTTAATTAGGAAAAGATTTTTGGAAAATTTTCTAGTGTTCTTTTTCCTTTTCCATTGGAGTGTTCCAGGGCCCTTGGCCCTCTCTGGGTGCTCCATCGGGTCTACCTTCTAGCTATGGTCTTCCTAAGAAGCATTATAGAAATTTATGAGATAGTAAATTAATCAAATGATATTTGGTAAAAAACTTTTTGAAATGCATCACAAAAATAATGCTGAATGATAAATGTATTTGCTGTACAAAAATAGTATAAGTTTGGCTTGAATTTTTTGTATGGGATCATTTCTTAGTTTAATGTATTTGATTTATCAGGTATCATTTCCAGCTAAGGGTAAGTGAATTTTTTTAAAATCCCACCTAAAAGCTAAAGCACATAAAACAGATTGGCCTTTAAGACCTCTCATAAATGTGTAGCCATACTGGCATTCCTCTTAGAAAAGAAACTTGCTAACATCTACAATGCTTAGTTAATGATTCCATATATGTAGTCAACTATGGAATCCAAACTATAAATAGAGTGCATAAAGTCAAGCTGGTAGATCAAAGTATAAAGTTTTATAAATCAATATATGCAGTTTATACCCCTCTGTTAACACTTTTGAGGCAATATAGTTTATAGAAATAATATTAAGGAACAAAATATCTAAGTATAATATGAAACCATTTCATATTTCTATGCATCAATTGATTTGCCAAATCAATTACTTAAGTACTGTACATGGGAATATTTTACTTATAACAGATGGGCATTCCAATGGATTCACTCTTATTAACTGTATTAGCAGAAGTCTACTGGCTTCTACTAATTTGCTGTTTTTCTACTTCAAAATTTAAGTATTTAAACAAGAAAATTAAACATTAAATCAGTCCTCCAATTACTTTAGTGCCAGATTGTAAATTGCATTTTTTTCCATACCTATAATCTTTGTAGGACATAAATTATTATAGTTATGTAAAAACCTCCCTTTCTGGTTACCAGTAATGTCATATTAATCAATGCAACAATAGGGATAGGTAAGAAAAAAAAGCAAGGAGTATATGGCAAAGAGCTAGAAAAACCTGGAAGAAGACCTTTTATTTAAATTTCTCTGTTGCTGTAATATGTAGTAAATGCTCAAATATATAGCAGAATGTTAAAGTGACTTAAAAGGCAGAGCAACAGTACTAGCCATCCTATTCTCAAAGATACCATATATCTGCACAGATAAGATGAGGTATAAATTTTTGTTAAAGTTTTATAGGTTTAGCATATATAGGTCCTATAAGATGTTTTTGTGAATAGTTCTTGACTATTCACAAAAACATCGTATGGGCTATTCTCAGTGGTGATATTCGAAATATTTAACAAAGGGTTNAGTATTCAAGAAAGGAATAAAGAGCACTTCTCTAACTCGGTCCCGAATGAAAATATCTACTTTATTATTTATTTATTTATTTTTTTACTAAATTCTTACTTTCTTCCTGCAGATTTTATTTTAATATATATATTGGATAATTTACATGGCAGCGTGGTCGAGGGGAAATTTAGATTATCTTCTACTGTACTTCTGTCACATAAATCTCCTACCTCAAAAAATTAGGTTTTTGTATAGAAAATTTGGCAATAATGCATATTTTTTGAGGTAGGAATTTAATAAATGGATTTATAAGTGTAGTAAGTCTATAAAATTTAATATATTTAACACGGAAAACTCATAATTGAACTTCGTAGCTGGTATGTTGTAAGCTACTTTCAGTAGGAGTGATACTTGATATATTTTGTTAAAGGCTTTTTTACTTTACTTACACCTTAATAATTTGTCTTCCTTAAACACTTCTGCTAAGCCCACATTTTATAGGAATCCAGATTATGTTGCAAATATTTCAGGACATATTCTCTGATGTATAAAGCGACTATGGTTCTTAAATATAACATGGAATGATTATAGGATTGTAGGATTCGACTCAATTTGATCTGAGTTTTATATATACATACAATCTTTCTAAAAGTGGATCTTACTCTTGGCCTTTCTGGTTTGGTTATTTTAGGTAATTTTTTTTGTGCGTGTGTGTTTTTATTGGAGTACGGCATCGGAACTATTGAAGGAATGGAAGGGAGAGAAGGGAATATGTGAAGCAGAAAATTTGCATTCACTTTTTCCTTCAGCGAAGAAGGTTTAGGGAGAAATTTGTAGTCTGCGAGGCAAGCATCTCAAAATCCTCTCTTCACTCGCCATTTTGCATATGTCCGAAAGACGGATTTTCCAGGCCAGAAATCGCCTGGCCAGGATCAACCCGACTTGTGAAATCTTCTTCTATGCATGATATTTTTTCTTCTACCTCTTTTTTTTTCTATCTGTATAGATTTTTTTATTGCCGTCCTTTTTTCTGGTTTGTCTAGTTGGCTTCCAAGATGATGCCTCCTCCGAAATCCGCACCTCCGAAGAAGAAGAAATTGAAGAAACCAATGACGAATGATCGCGAAAGGTAAAAATTGCTTCCTCTATACGACTCTTCAAGTAAATTCTCCGCTTTCAGAATTCGATTTACAGAGAAAACATTTTGTTTTACAGCAACTCTTTCGGAAAAGGAAAGATGGTAGAAGTTGAAGATGCTTCGTTTTGTTAATCTACCATCGAATATATTTTTTAATCTCGCGCTGTTTCGTGAATATTCATTCGACGGGGGCTTCCTTTTACTTAAAACTTTCTGTAAATTGCGCCATTTTACACGATTTTTTATACTGTTAAGCCCGAATAGTTGCGAATTTTACGATATATATGAATCTCATTCTTCTTGTTTTTATATTTATATATGTACATAGCCTATATATAGATAGATACTGTATTTTTTTATACTTCTTTACGAGGCTCGACGTAAGTAAATTTGTATACAATGAACGAAAGCTACTTACAAAAATCCTAGGAGAAGCGCTGTTTTCTGTTTAATAACCATTCAGCATAATAAATCATGGGAATGCGGTCGTTATGATTCTATTCTCTTTGTCTCGGGCGAATTACTTGTATTGTTATTAATGGACTAGTGGAAAATTTTTTTATCGTTTTTAATTTTGATGCGGTTTAGTCTCCCTAGTTACCATTTTGTCTTAAGACAGTTCATTTATCAAAGCATGTACCTAGTTAGGAGTTCGTTTGAACTGTTGTAATGGCTTAGCCACCATATCTCATAAAAAGTGTCAAACTGAGATCTGTTTTTATCATTCGCTGTAAAGTATCCCCCCGAATTGGGGTCAAGAATAACGTGTAAGTATTCTAGATTGATGACTTTAGTTTCTCGCAAGAATCATTTTAAAATTTCGCCCATTTGGGTCTACAATTTACATATTTAAATCTGTTTCTCTCTGGGTAAATCGGCAATATACAGCAAGCCCGGAGAATATTGTATTTTGGTTTACATTTTACACATTTAAATTCATTTTTTTTCGGGGTATCTTGCTGGGTAAACCGACAATTTACAGCAAGGCCACACACGGAAACTCGTACGTATTGGTACGTAAAGGCGCGAACAATACTGTTGATACTGTTAACGATGTGGAAGACATTTTTTTGTACTTCTTATTAATAAAAAAAAAGGTACCAAAGCAGAAAGTAGTATTTATCGATATAGCTTAAGCACAAGCGTCAAAATGAATCCGGCTCATTCTGATGCGGGTGTTATGTCTGCCATTAATCAGGCCAGGTCTCATACCTTCAATACTAACGCCTTTTCCTCTGCAAGCGGCAAAATGATGAGTTGCATTGTTGGCTTGTCGACGGCAATAAAAAGACCCTCTAACCGCTCCCCTGTTGGAATTTAATAGAATTCCGTGTACAACGTTGGATAAAACAAGTAGTAATATGACGTGTCTGGCTGATAGTTGATGTGGATGGAAGGAAATGGCTTAGTAATACTTTGCTGTGATAAATTTGGGAGGAAAGAGGATTGCGAACATCAACGTCTTGCTGAGAAGTCGTTTAGGAGATTCTGAATCTGTTGTAGTCATTCTAAATATGAGATGTGTTGTCAGAACCGGGATAACTTTTATTATTACACTGAATAAAGCTCGCCAGTCTGCACTCCTTTTAAAATGGAAATATTCAAATAAAGCTGGGAAGAAGGATGAATATGTTAATGCAGCGAGCCAACCGGTTGCAAAACCTTTCATGCCAACCTGTAATACATAAGCAATTTTTAATTACCCGTTATAACGATTCCATTTTTTTTTATTCTTTTATATCGGGGGCGAGAAACGTGTTACGTAGCCAAGACCCAAGGAAGAATCGTGTCACATTCGCGCCATCTATCGGACTAAATTCAAATTTTAAACTGTGCAAAAAAGGTATTTAATATACATTTTAATCAGTAAATTAAAGTAACTTTAATATAGTATTTTATAAATTGTATTTTAAAATTTAATCGAAGCTATTTTTCTTCTATTTTTTTTTAAAATGAAACTGATGAGAATTTGTAATTTTTTCCAGCAGAGGGCAGCAGCTAGCAGGGTGTAGGTGAGCGTACCCTTGAGGAATATCCTTATTTTTAAAATATGGACTCTGAGACACGAAGGAAGGAAATTTGAAGCCGAAGCATGTATCGTGTTTGATACAGCCGTGACAATACTTTAACAAACAAAACATTGTAAATTTGAACTGGGCTGCTATAAATTCTCGGTGCGATACGACAAAATTACTTAATGAAATTAGTTTGTCGTCGCTACTTGTATGTAAAAATCTTTAAATTTTAATTATTTTTTTACATTAATAATTCAGGCAAATATGAATGATTAACTTTCTTTTCCAGTGTTTACAACCGATAAATCAGGGCTCTAACTACGGGGAATAATGTCTGGTCCTCCTCATTTCATGTAGAATTTATATAATCTAAATTGGGGTCATCTGAACTATCTTACAAATTTGCCCTTGACCCTAGCACAGGCTTTTAAATTGAGAGATATTCTACATTTCAACTAAGAAATGATGAATTTTTGTGGAAAAATTAATGATTTATTCTGCAAAATGTTAACTAGGGATCATCAGTGAGTCAACATCAACCCCAGGGACCTTGAAATTTTGCAATTAGTTAACTGGAACAATTCCATTAGAGGTACAAGATCCAGATACATCTGCTCAATATCGGTTAACAGGGCACCGGCCAATGAGGGCAATATTCATTGATCGGGATCTTTAATGGTTTCTTTTTTGATCAGCAACTTGATTGAATAAGAACAGATAACCCCCATTCGGTCATTAGACCTCATATCGTTCTCCTAATGATGATTCGACAGATCTGCTCCCTCTCAAAACGCCCTGGCTAATTTGGTGAGGTAGAAATGGCCCTCCCGATGAATAACTCATCCGGATAATAAAGTTTTTCCCCTCTCGCATTGAGCTTTTTCACTGTTATTTTTGATTACTTTTATCTAATTAATGTTTGTGGTCGCGAGATTTGTGAGTCATTACACCCTGCAGAGTAACAGGTTGAGCCATTCCTTTCAATTGTGAGAATCAAATATGCTAATCGCTCGGATCTAAAACTTTAGAAAGGATAGAACCCTTGTAAGGCCTCCACAAATGAGGGCCTGCAACTATGGTAAAATACAGTAATTAGAGCGATAAATTAAATGTTATGATTAAACAATGCTGTTATATTGCTTAAGTTAAACTATTGTCGATAATTACGTAGTGTAGTGTATTGTTGCCATTATTAATCATTATTGCCATTGATATCAAGTATTGCCTCTTCTCCTCCACAGTAATTTTTCAAATGTAAACTGAAGCCTAGATACATAAAACACTGGATTTTATGTATCTAGGCTTCAGGAGGGCCCCAAAGTTTAGTGTTTTAAGTAAAGGATATTTAACATGAAAATCATCCTGCATCCTGTGCTAGACAAAAGGACCCACCACCTATGTAGACTGATGATGATATGTTTTTACATAACATAATGTAAAATATAAACATTGTACTATTATTCACTAATCGATAATGATAGTAATATTTATGGGTTTGATATTAGCACAGCAACACAATTGATATATAATAACAGTACAGTATTATTATACTTCGAGCCGAATTTAGATTTAAGCTAAAAAATCTACATCTTAGGCCTCATACTACAGTTTATACATATTGCCTCTTATTATATGGCAGAAGAAGAAGTGCCTCCTGTGTGTTTTAGCACATAGCAACAATTTTAAATCCGGTTCCAACTACTACACCAATGTGCATTGTAAGCATTAACACTAAAGTTAATACAACACACAAAAATTGCTCACTCTTTATCTATAGAGACTATATTTTTTAATCCCCGTACAAAAGTATTGGCACGATACATTGTTCTCGCTCATAAATAGCTAATCACGATGCAAATGGAGACCTAAAAAATAACAATAAGAGAATGGCAAGCATATACAAAACACGATTGAAGCAGGGAGGGGGTTGCCAGCATTTGATAACGCAATCTAATTTGAGAGACAGAGTTGTCGTAATAGAAAAATAGCCATCTTGGCATTACGTCCAATTTTGACAGAGGAGAAGAGTTCATCTGAAAGTATAATTTAATCACGACAACCTCACACCGGACATATTGGTTCCGATTCACATAAAGTCCAGTGAATCTACCGGACAACACAACCATCAGATAATGTTTAAAATTCATGAAAACTTTCCAGTTTATGTAAACACTGGATAAGTCTCTTTAATCGGGCGTGAGTACCTAAATACGTGACTTATCACGTCACGTGTTTGCTGTTAGTTTATTCGACTTCACGAAATAACTTAATGAAATATTGGCTTGTGAACGATCAATCTTGTCTTGGCAAATTATTTGCCTGCCATTTTCAACGTGTACAGATGTTACTTGATTTATATCTCGTATTGGTACCGACCGGATTTATCAATTTCTAGAATAATTTTAATCGATTTTTTAAAAAAATATTTCGAATCGATTATGCAATTTAATCAACAAATTATAGATTTTTTTCCGTTAAATTTCGGATAAATCGTTACCATTGAGACCATTCCAAAGTTGTAAATTATGGCACATCCTAGAGCAACAACACGAAATAAAGTAAAATGAATGGCTCCCTCCCGTTGTAAACAACATTAAAAACATTTTACACGATAAATGACTTAAAAATTAAACATTTAAACACGTGAAATTACTCATTAAACATATTAACACGACTTAAATCGAAGGACGATTCAAATTTGGTAAATTGAAATGAAATTTAGTAAATTGAAATACCTTGTAAATGGTATTTTTATATTAATTTACTCCTTCCGTCCTATACAGGTTGACGTTTTTAAATTCGGGAATAGAATTTCTTAGGATTTTGGGGGGCAGAAGTTAATTTAACCCCGAAAACAAACGAGAAATTCTAAGGATCATCATCATTAATTACCATACCAGAAAGAAGGGAAGGGGGAAAATAATAATAATGTTGATAAATATTCAAAAAAAAGAAAGAAAAAAATTACTTGATTAAACATAGAACCTTTTATCAAAATAAATTGACTCCATATAATTAATTATGTTATGAATAAGTGTTTAAAATTAATTATATTGTTTAATATGCATAAACCCTGCAAGTTCTAACTTTCAAATTTCTGAATTACTTTATAAAACATAAGGTATGTGAAGAGAAACATCTGTATTTTATTAATATTTTTTAATTAAATTTCAGAAGAAAGTATATAGAATTTCTATAGTGATTTTTCATGGAAGACAGCCGGTAACCAATGTTAAGTATATAGAACAAATGGGAATTTTTCGAGTTGGTTCTCTTTAGATGGTTCCTATCTGCCATTTTATAAAGGCAGTTCAATATTGATGATTCTCTTTTAAATTTTAAATTCTATGCTTTTGATACTTTGAAAGCCGAGAAGAAGAATTTAAATTCTTTTTGGCTTTGTATTTAAATTTATTTCAGTTTACAATTAAATTTTTTATGATATAATTTACCCATTGCTTTATTGTGCAATTTTAACGAGTTTTGTTCGTTAAAATCGTTTTTGTTCTCTGAAAATATGGAATTTTCTGATGTAGAAATGAAAATTTGAAAGTTTCGGTCATTAGAATGGGAAATTAGTGAGGTTTTCTAGCATTAAAAAAGTGAAAATGTATGATTTTCTAGCGTTGGTAAGTATGAATTTAAGATTTTCTGACATTTAAATTAAGTAATTAACTTAAATAACCGAGGCTTATCAATGAATTCCCTATTTGTATTATTACGAAGGCAGTTGGAGTGTTTAAATTCCTTATTTACTTTTAAAAGTAAAATGAATGTTTATTTGTTACTGCTTCAGTGATGACGTACGATATTTCTAGATATATCCCATGAATTTTTCAGAATTTCTGGATATACAAATTTCCCGTTGATATGTACAGTGAAGCGCTACATAAATGATCACAGAAAGAAATTCCTTCGTGAAACTTAACGTATTTTTTAAATTTTAAATAAATCAAAATATGATTTATTAATTCTTAGAATATTAAATTATTTTTTTGTATTAAAAAAAATTATTCACTAAACCGTTAATTTAATTTTTGTGCTAAAAGATAAAATTGAGGTAATTTGGCGAATAAATAGTTCATTAATTTCCGTAATTTGTCATTAAACGTAAAAGTGCTGCCATCTCTTGAGAGGTTAAATATTTAATGCTAGTGGCGGCGATAAAAATTCGATTTTTTAATGAATACTGTATTTAATTTAAAATTAACGTATTAATTTATTCAAAAAGCTTTTATTTTTATATAATTATTTGAAAGATTATTTTTTAGTAAATATAAAAATGTTGGAAATTTAAATCGATGATTATTAAATACATTTTAGTATTAAAGTATAATTAATTAATTAATTAATATAGTTTAGCTATTGTAATTTATTATTTACGAAATTAAATTTCGTTAATATTAATCGTTGCGATCGCCGGTATCGAAATTATTTCCGTTTTTATTTTATAAACAATTTACAAACGCTATTGAGAGCAAAAATATTATTAATAAATGCAATTATAATGAAAATAAATAACAAAACGAATTACTAATTTATATAAATGTCGGTCGCTTGGCTTATCAATAAACCATTGCCATAATAGACATCGAAGCTTAAAACTCACCAATTTGACAAAATTACAGTAAGTCGAATGAAATGTATATAAAATTTTAAATATATAATTTTAAAACTTTTGAATACGTTTTTATATACATTTTTAACATTTTTAATTCGGATTTAATAAAAAAGTTTTAATTAATTGTTGTTTCCAATTTTTAACACCAGGTAGCAGCAAGAAGTATTTGTCATATGTAAACAAAACATGGGAGTTCGCGGACTTTCCTCCTTTTTCGAAAAGAATTCTCATTTAAGGAAAGAATATCATTTACACGATACTAAAGTCGTTTTTGACGGTAATAATTTAGTATATTGGCTCTATAGAGAGAGTGCAGAGTTCAAATATGGAGGAGATTACGATAAGTAAGTAGTAATTGTTTATCAATACAATATTTAAACATATTTATATGAGTTAAGCTTATGAATTTACACCCGAAACATTTCAATTTAAAAATATAAGGTGTTTGATGATAAAAATACACAAAAATCAATTATCCCAATGTTTACATAGAAACATGAGAATCAATTATATATTTTCATATTAATACAGTAAATTGACACACTGATTCATAAGTTATTCAAAGTTCCACACTATTACAATTTATGAAAGTAATTATCAATTTTAAATGGTGATTAGGAATTGCTAGGATCATTTACACATATTCTCTGCCAGATCAGATTTGTTGGCTCGAGGAAGCCCATAATGTATCATTACTCTTTTCAATTGGTTTTAGCAAGATTATCAACTCTTAAAATTCATATTCTTTATTATTTTAGGAATCAGCTGGTAAAGTTTTCAAATGTATAAGTACTTTTTGGTAATCGTCTGGTAAAGATGTGTGGCATGTTCCAGGTTGGGTTGTGTAGCATACGTTTTGTTGTGTTGTAAAATTTTTAGTCGTGTACATTGTGAGATAGTGTTACTAGATTTTTCTCAGGTACAAAATACAGTGCTGTTCAAAAATTAAATGTTTAAACGAGGCAAACATTAGATATATTATATATATTATGTTTACTATGAACCTATTCGAGTTGGATAGTTTAATCTCTGTATTTCTGTAAGCTTCATACTAGAGGGTGTGTATTTTTAAAATTATTTCAGAGTTGTATTTTTGGATTTTCTATCTTGGAAACCTATGGATGGGTAACGAATACAAAATGTTCTTCCTATCAAATGCTGACCAATGTGAATAAATTATTCAACTTTATTATATAAATATTTTTAACTCAATTATCTTTAACAAAACTTTTATAATTTAAAAACATAATAAATGTACTAATATAAGTGATGACTAGTTTCAAAAATGTTCCAAAAGCATTATGAAAACTAATAAAGTTTTAGTTTTGATTTACTTTTGAAATTATTTTTCTTTCCAATTTGTTTGTAATTTTTATTATTAATCTAATCTAAAGTTATTTATAAGTGTTACTAAACAACCTGTTGAATTATTATTGGGCTGTTATGGCTACTTAATGATTAGAAACAGAGCATAATATAAGAAGCCTGATAATAATACAGTTAATAACAATATCATAGTAAATAATTATAATTAAATTGATCATATTTATCACAAGCAAATTTAAACATCATAATTAGAAATGAATTTTTACCTCCCTTTTGTTGTTCTAAAAGTTATTTTTATTTTAATTATTTTATGTAAGGCATCTCAGTTAACATTTGATTTATTACTTGAATTAATAAAAAGAGATAACGACAGCTATTTTTATTAAAAATTTTATTTATAACAGATTAAAATTTTTTGTGGGATTGTTGATTCTTCAAAATTCACTTAACTTTTAAATATTAAAAAAAAGTTAATTTGCTTAAATGTGTCAAACGTTTAAAATGTTTAACACATTTAAAGTGTTGTTACTCTATGGTTTAATAATTCTCTTAAATACTAATACTACAATTCTCTTATACACTTATCTTCTAACATCATCTTATCTATTAATTATATCAATTATCTTGTGACATTGTGTGACATATTTTTTACATTTGTTTTAAGTCTTGTGATATTATCTTGATATTTTAATTAATTTAATGAGAAACAGGAATAATTGGATTGCAATTTGAAAAAATTATAGACCTATAAATCCCCACTTGTTGTTCGTTCCTTAATCTCGAGAATGGAGTTAGACAGATGAAAGCCAAGACCAAATAGGGAAACCTATTAACTATATATGAATTTCTGGTGCAAACCAGAAGTTATGTTATTTCAATTCAAAAAATTTTTCCCTGTCTGTTTCAGTTTCTATTCAATATTTTGTTCTTATCTGATATTCAAGCAATAATAACTGATTCACTAGTTAGTGGTTTGGTTACTATATTGGTTAATAAAAATTTCCAGTTATGATATTAATCTGTAATAAATCTTTTAGAAAAACAATTAAAATGCAAATTTAAAATAATCATATTATTGTTAACAGAGATTTTTCTAGCAAAATATTATCAAATAAAAAAATCCAACATAATATTCATAAAATAATATAAATTTGTTGTTATAAGTACAAATTTTATAAGAATGACTTAAACAAAGTAATAGTATACTAACATTTTGTTATATTGATTAACAAATAATGTCATTTTGTAAATTTTCAAATCACATCATTATCATCATCATACATTACATTATATTGATATAATACATCAGATTTCATATTAGTATGCAAAGGTAATAGAATATATATCAGACTAGAAAATAATTCTTTTATAGTTATTTGTATTGTACAAAGTGCTAAAGCAATCTTAGAATATTTGAATGAAAAGAATTATCCTTTATATCCTCTATTTTATTTGTATTTTTTACAGTATCTTTTATTCCATTCATAATTTATTTAGTGAATAGAAGGGCTATTTATTTATTAGAAAAAAAATATTTTTTGCTAAATGTTTGTGAATTTTTCAATTTTTAAGGGCCCCCAGTGGCACACTCAGGATTTAATCTTGAGGAGCCAAATTGAATGGATAAAAACATTTTTAATCCAAAATTCAATAAAATTTTTACCTTACTCGGCTGCTAATTCATGAGTAGTATGTGACACACCATAAATACAAAAACTATAAAATTTAATTAGGAAAAGATTTTTGGAAAATTTTCTAGTGTTCTTTTTCCTTTTCCATTGGAGTGTTCCAGGGCCCTTGGCCCTCTCTGGGTGCTCCATTGGGTCTACCTTCTAGCTATGGTCTTCCTAAGAAGCATTATAGAAATTTATGAGATAGTAAATTAATCAAATGATATTTGGTAAAAAACTTTTTGAAATGCATCACAAAAATAATGCTGAATGATAAATGTATTTGCTGTACAAAAATAGTATAAGTTTGGCTTGAATTTTTTGTATGGGATCATTTCTTAGTTTAATGTATTTGATTTATCAGGTATCATTTCCAGCTAAGGGTAAGTGAATTTTTTTAAAATCCCACCTAAAAGCTAAAGCACATAAAACAGATTGGCCTTTAAGACCTCTCATAAATGTGTAGCCATACTGGCATTCCTCTTAGAAAAGAAACTTGCTAACATCTACAATGCTTAGTTAATGATTCCATATATGTAGTCAACTATGGAATCCAAACTATAAATAGAGTGCATAAAGTCAAGCTGGTAGATCAAAGTATAAAGTTTTATAAATCAATATATGCAGTTTATACCCCTCTGTTAACACTTTTGAGGCAATATAGTTTATAGAAATAATATTAAGGAACAAAATATCTAAGTATAATATGAAACCATTTCATATTTCTATGCATCAATTGATTTGCCAAATCAATTACTTAAGTACTGTACATGGGAATATTTTACTTATAACAGATGGGCATTCCAATGGATTCACTCTTATTAACTGTATTAGCAGAAGTCTACTGGCTTCTACTAATTTGCTGTTTTTCTACTTCAAAATTTAAGTATTTAAACAAGAAAATTAAACATTAAATCAGTCCTCCAATTACTTTAGTGCCAGATTGTAAATTGCATTTTTTTCCATACCTATAATCTTTGTAGGACATAAATTATTATAGTTATGTAAAAACCTCCCTTTCTGGTTACCAGTAATGTCATATTAATCAATGCAACAATAGGGATAGGTAAGAAAAAAAAGCAAGGAGTATATGGCAAAGAGCTAGAAAAACCTGGAAGAAGACCTTTTATTTAAATTTCTCTGTTGCTGTAATATGTAGTAAATGCTCAAATATATAGCAGAATGTTAAAGTGACTTAAAAGGCAGAGCAACAGTACTAGCCATCCTATTCTCAAAGATACCATATATCTGCACAGATAAGATGAGGTATAAATTTTTGTTAAAGTTTTATAGGTTTAGCATATATAGGTCCTATAAGATGTTTTTGTGAATAGTTCTTGACTATTCACAAAAACATCGTATGGGCTATTCTCAGTGGTGATATTCGAAATATTTAACAAAGGGTTTGCTAGCAGAAAATTTTTCCTTAACAATTTTTTTTTTTCGCTCAAATGGTGCATTAGCAACATTAGCGCAAAAACTGACCTTAAGATATTCATATAAATAAAAAAAAATGCGTTCACAAAATTAAGTCAGTTAAAATTTAATATTGTTAATGCCATAACTATATTTTTTTGATAAATAATAAAAAAAGAGTTCAAAATGGTTTATTTTGTACATATTTTAATATTTTTCATTCAAAATATTTTATAAACATAAAAATTAGCTTTTTTTTTTTTAAATCAGAAAAAGTCATAGGGAAAGCAGTTACACAAGAAAAACTTTTTCTAAATCATTTATTTTATCGTTAGGTATTATTATAATAATAGACAGATGTCATCGTCTCTCGAAATACAATATCTTTCTTATTTCGCTGTCGATAGNGCTGTTGTTTTTTTAATCAGAAAAAGTCATAGGGAAAGCAGGTTTAACTGCTTTCCCTATGACTTTTCCTCAAGAAAAAACTTTTCTAAATCATTTATTTTATCATTAGGTATTATTATAATAATAGACAGATGTCATCGTCTCTCGAAATAAAATATCTTTATTTCGCTGTCGATAGCCCGACACGTGTACTGCAATCATCTTGTATTTTCTCGCGCGCGTGGGATTGTGGAATCTCTCGTATGACTGGACCTAGTTTCGAGAACTCTCTTGAGTCGATCGCGATTAAACCTCGTTTCAGTCGAGATTGAAACGGTCGATGGAGGTTGCACCAAGGCGAACAGTGTATAAGGCTCTAGTTTAGTAGTGTTACAGAGTATAATACGTATATTTTAACATATTTTTAAAAGAAAAAAACTACTGAGAAATGTTACATGTGTTTAACAACGGGTTCGGAAAACTTTGAAAATGTTAACAACGGGTTCGGCCGAACCTGTGCGAACCCGCTGAATATCACCACTGGCTATTCTATTTTGTGGACATACCCTACTCTCTACTAGTAAATAATTAAGGTTTTTCTGTTTTTTTATAATGATTTTAATTTATATAAATTTCAATCTAATTTTTTTTGTATCTGCCCTATAAGATGACCCTGGATTTTGGAGGTCTTTTTTATGATTCAACTATTGTCTTATCTGCGCAGATATATGGTAATTATGAACCAAAGTAGAACAAGTTATTATCCAGAATAAAGTTATTGTTCAATCCAAGAAACCAGAAAACATTCCTGGCATAAGCCATCTAACTATATCAAGACTAACAATGCATGCAACATTTCCACATTAAAAGCTTACAATTGTATGGAATTATGTCATTCTTTGTCTGCCGCAAGCATAATATTTTGTAAAAGAAAGACAAATGTTAATATTACAAAATTTGTGTTTTCAAACTTTAATTGAAGAAGCTTTTCTTGATAAAAAGCAAAAATGCTTTTAATTAAAGAATCTCTTTGTATTATGGATAATATGAAATTATTCTTTTTGATTTACTTTCCATGAGATAAAGTAAGAAAGTTAGTTCGGTAGTAGTAAAGATAGTGGTAAACAGCTATGATGCTTTCTTTTCATTTTGAATCTTAAAACCAAGTTTGGATTCTTAAAGCAACAGATATACACACAAACAAACTTCACAAAACCCAATAAATTTGTAAAGCCAATCAAAACTATATTACATTGTATTTAATTAATTACTAAATAATTTGTCACTAGAGGTAGGTGCCATCTCTCAGATTTATCAAAATAAGAGATGGACCTCTAGTGACAAATTATTTAGTAATTAATTAAATATAATTGAGGAAAAGTAGCCCAATGTAACCCAGTGGTTGTTTGGCTTAACAGATATTATATAGGGATATAGAAATAAAAATTTGTTACCATAGTCATGCATTGTAAAATTAGGAAGGCTGTCAAAGGAATTGAAGACAACTGAACATCATATTGGGAAGAAGATACTGTACTTTTGAAATTATCCAGACCAATATTTTAAAGATACTTTGGGAAATAGCAATAAAAATATTAGATTGGAAACCATATGCAATGCATATCAGAATGATATTAGGGTGTTTTGTACTGAGATGTCCAAGTGTTTGAGATAGTCTCCATGTTTTTTAATTGATTACTTTGCATTTTAGGTGTCTTGTAAATTTCAAGTTTTTCCAAGTGTATATTTTTATTGTGTTTGTGTTCTGTTTTATAAGATTGAATAACTGTTCCAGTTTTTATAGCTGGTGATTTGAATTGGATAAACTTAACAATGACCATTCAACAAGGTTGAAAACATTTGTTTAGTTATTAAATGTTTGTTCTGAAGTTTCAAGGTGCAGGTTATGCAATTAAAAATTCAAGCCTGTGAAGAAGTGGCTGCCCCATATGGGTTATGTGGAAATAATAATATAGTACAGGGAATGTATTTCAAAATGAATGTTTTATTTTAAGTCAAGAATGTTCTAAAACAATTTCAAATTTGGAGTCTAAAGAAGTTTAAAAATATTTGTTTATTTTAACAAATGAAGTGTCTTGGGATAAATAGTTGAAATTTAATAAAAAATATAAGAAATTGTGTGCATTTTCTGTATTGATTTAGAAACATAACTTCAATACAAATTTGAATTATATAAATTGATAAAAAATTGTATACAGTGTGACAATTTCATTTGAACTTTATAAAATACATATGGAATTTTAAGCTTTAATAACTTTGGTTGTACCGATGATTGAAGGGCACTATAAACGGTTTTTAAAGCTAAATATTATATTGCAATAAACTTTTATTTTAAAATTTTAGCATGACCATCATCATTTGCAACATATCTTTCAAGCCTATTTTCCCACTCATTGACAATACTGTATTTTAGTCACTGCTTGTTAATTTCTTAAGTTAAAATTAAGATCAGAATCACAAATATATCAAAATTTGTTTACAAGTTTAGACATAATCCCATAAAAAGTAGTCTGTTGGGTCTGATCACACAAACAAGGTGCACCATTTTACTTGAATATGTGTATTATGCTGCAAGTTTAGGGATTAAGAAGTTCTGTAGAATTCAATGTATTATTCACTGTTCACACTTCAAAACTAATGGGGCTACAACACATGACATGAAAATTTAAAAGACATTAAAGAAATCAGAAATTAAGCTTTTAAATTCTATTTACAATGACCTCTTTTCATGTTTGCATTTAAATGGATATTATTATACAAAGTGTGTAATAAATTTAACTTTCACCATTTTAATAAAATGGTTAAATATGTGTAACAGAATTTTATTATATTTCCAGATTTTCCGTGGCTGTTTTTGATTATTTTGATCATTTCAAAACTTGCAATATTACTCCTTTAGTGTTATTTGATGGTGGAACAGATTGTACGGAATGGCAGTTTCTCAGAGCGCAAAGGCGAGCTGTGGACAGATTAAATTACTGCCACGAAATATGTCAGTATGGAAAAACGTCCAATTTCGTCTTACCCATATTGGTATGGGATGTTTTCAAAAGTGTTTTGAATGAACTAGGAATTAGGTATGCCCAATGTGATTTTGGAGCCGACGATCAAATAACAGCGTTAGCAAACTATTATAAATGTCCAGTGATTAGTCAAGACAGTGATTTTTATATTTTTAATATAGAAAATGGATATATTACAACCGGACTCATCGACTTAAATGTGAAAACGGAAACCAAATCTAAAAACAGTTATAAATATTTGAAATGCGAAATATATTATATAGATGACTTTTTGGCTAAGACTGGGCTTAACAAAGATACACTGCCTTTGTTTGGAACACTCATGGGTAACGACGTTGCCCAAACTAAAGTATTCGACAATTTCTTTAATAAAATATCTTATTCAAAGAAGAAGAAACACGGAGCAACTATACGTCACAATAAAATGATTGGCCTTCTCAGATGGATGAAAATGTATTCGGTAGATGATGCGATTCAACACGTGCTGAATGCATTACATAAAGATAAAAGAGAGGAAGCTAAAAGTATTATAGACGAAAGTTTAAAAGAATATAACAAAAGAGACATTACTCTTACAAAATATTTAGATAATGCAGAATGCGAAGACAAATTAGACGATTTCAGTTCGTTAAGTGTTAAGGGAAAGACATTACCTCATTGGTTTGTGAGAAAATTTCGTGAAGCCCAGTTCGAATCTATTTTAATGAATATTGTCGGGGTACACAGAATTTTTCTTCCCGCACAAATTGACGATTTCAGTTGTCCAACAAGTTATCAGTGCACGTCGTTATTAAGGAAAATTTTGTACGGGATATTTCTTCAACGAGATGCGGCAAAAACTGTTAGAGAATACGATCGATACGAAACTTGTCTTCGCAAAACTAATATTCAGCCAATTGTTACGATTCCGAGCTACGGAGACATCCCTTATTTAGATAACATACCAAAAATGGACGTTAATCAACGAAAGAAATTTTTTTTAACTGTAATTGGTGTAAAGGAGAAATATTTAGAATGCTTCCCCGAAAAGTGGCACTTTATATTCCTTGTAGTATTTTACTGGTTAAATAATTCGGCACCTTTAATAACAGAAAATTTTCTAAATGCATTTATAGTCATGTTAATTTTTTATTCTGTCTTAAAACCAAAGACGACGACAAAAGATTACAAACCCAAATCTCTAGAGAAAAAGCAAACTAAACTGAATATACAAGAACTGATAGAGACAATTTCTAAAGAAGAAGCCGAGAAAATATGGTTAAATATTAAGAAATTTGTAAGACAACCAATTCTTAACCATGCTAACCCCATAAATATAGGTATTATACATAACTTCAGCCAATTACAAAGTTCCTGTTTTTTTATCTCTTTGTTTTGTAAGCTCTTTAGCATATATTTACCAAATCAGACTTTCAAATGGTTAAGTGGAACATTTATTTATAATTTAACAAAAGATTTAACAACAAGAAAAAATAAAGAACTGTACATAGAAGAAATTCTCGGACGGAGTTCCGTATCAAGCATTTTATTTAATAAAATAAAGCACTCGATAATGCTACATGTCTCTTCCGATCATCTCTTATCCGATGATACAAAAACAAAGAAGAAAAGCAAGACGAAAACTAAGAAATCAAAACTTTCTGAATGTATAGAAGTCAATGAAAGTAACTGCTCCGAAGTGGAATTATTAGATAACAGATTTAAAAATCTTTTAAATGAGGTAACCAATAAAATTTGATTACTTTCTTACATTATAAAATGTAATAAAATGTTAATATTTTGTAATAAAATGAATTTTTTATAGTTAAAGAAGAGCTTAAATTTTATTATATAGATTAAGTTAAGCAAAATCATCACTATAAACAGAATATTTATCGTCTCAAGGGCTTGTATAATTTAGCAATTTGCAGATGCTGCAAGGAATATCATAGAATTATTAGGCAAAGGATCTTTAGTTTGTGAGGATTAAACAATAGATTATCTTCTATCATTTATAGAACATGAATAGGAAGGAAATTAATCAAACACATTAATTTTGCTCCTCTCGTGCAGTTCTTCCCACTATTTTTTTTTTTTTTACTTTTTTTTGTACACATCATTCCAAATTCGGAATTTTGTTCTATTTCCTCGTCTAGAAATTTTTTGAACAGATAGACACGAATAAACTGAAACGTGGAGATTTGCAAAAAAAAACCCGGAGGTTAAAATTTGACACGATTCCAATACTCCCTTGTCACGTATACATAACAGCCGGGAAAGTAAAATGGCGCAGGCTGAAAACTTGATAACGGAATTATTGACACGTCGCGAAAGAATTTGAATCTATTGAGGTTACAATGATCGTTGAAAACAAAATCGGAGCAAATTTTGTGTAGACTGAACCAATGTATAGTAACTGCACTGGTGTGAAGTTAGCACAAATTTTGGATTTATTTGAACTGGTAGCGCGGTTCCTAGAATAAGTGTACGAAAAATCGAAATGGTTCCAAAAGTTTCAGCGTACAGGCTGAAACTTTTGGAACCATTCTGAGAAACTGCATGAAAATTCTTAGGATTAAATAAATAGAATTTAAATATCTCCCTAATGTCTTATGATATTTTAAATTATCGATGCATTCATTTGACTTAGATATGCGTATATATAACAATTCCTTCCATTAAATACCAAAGTAATTACTTAAGATTTATACATTAAAATTAATATTTCTGAACTTTACAAAATTGCCCTCTGAAATTCCCTATATATTTTCTCATATTCTCATTGTTTACTAAGAGCAATATTACAACGGCTGTAATTCTGTAACCCCTACGAGTTATATTATTGGACTAATTGTGTTGTACAGTACGTTGCATCTAGTACACTATCCAGATATACAACACGCTATCCCAATTGCCATTGGAGATTCTTTGCAATGCGAAAATTCGTATACAATAATAGAAGTTCCACCCACCGTTACTCTGTAACCGTGACAAATTACACGGTCCAATCATTTCTGCCTAAAACCACTTGATATATATAGCCCGATATTCGAATTGCCTTCAGAAATTTCTCATACAGAACAGTATGTTTTTATGTAAATTAACGTAACCTTATATCGAAACTTTCCGATAAACATCGGGATTCCATGATGCCACGATATTCAGCATTCAAGTATTACATTAGCAAGGTATTGGAATGGAGTGTAGGAGGAAAAACTACAGATATCGATGTCGGTGTTTGAACAATATGAAGCCAGCTGGCCAATACCCGCGACAGAAGACGCTACAGGTTGGCGGATGAGAGGGCAGCACCGTAGCCTAAGCTTACTGTGACGTCAGCTGTGGGGTGCAAAAAGCATCTGTCGAGATAAGTTCAAACAAAGCGCGCATTTTCCCTTTTTTTTGCTTTCGTTACGTCGTGAAATGCGTAACCAAAGAAAGAAGACCAATAGAAGGACACATACTCCATTTAGAATTTAAAAACTCTTCTCCCGCTATTATTTATTTACTGTCAAACACACTCGTAATATCGGTTAGGAGCGCAATACCTTAAATGCTAATTAAATTAATTGTTAGATTTAATGAGAATCTACATCGTTTATTTGCTTACGAAACTTTCTTTTAATGCTAAAATATGTTTTACAGATATTTATGTTAAAAATTTCATTTAATATAGGCTTATATTTAAACTGAAGAAAAATTTTAATTATATTCAAATCTGATATCTTTTAACACAAAACAAATAATCCAAATTTCGCGAAAGTCCCGATCTGAAATAGAAAAATTTGTATTCAATACAGTATTTAGCACACTAAAAACTAAAGTATAAATCTCAGAAAAGATAATAATAATAATTATTATTATTGTTTTCTTTGATTGTAATTAATTCTTAGATTGTCTTAACGTACCGAATGTCACAAATTTTCTATTATGAGGCAAGAAATGACAGATTTGTTGTTAATTGCGCAGTGTGAGCCAAAAATCTCGTTCTCTACGACACGTGCCATAAGTGAACCCACTTAGGACTCATATCGGAAAAAGGGTAAAGACCTTAATCGTATGCCAATGTTTGGTTGTGTTTTTAAGACTGCATAAAAATTCATTCAATCGTCCATCATCAACCTTTTCCCTTTGCTTAATAAAGGTTCGTATCGAGCCTTATCCATACAATATTATTCGGATCCGTAAGGGACATTTCGTAAGGTAAAATGAGATAGAACTCAACTTCGAAAGGATCCCTCTCGCGGTTATGTTCGATGGAAGCACACCTTTGGCAACGCCACTCGTGGCAATTTGCCAAAGGATGCTTCCCGGAGAACTTTCTGTGGGATACTGGCACCTGTTTAGGCATTAGATACGTGAAGAAAACCGGGAAATCTACACGTGACCAGTCCGTTGGCGAGGCGCAAACCGGCAATATATTCGTGTTCAATGGTTTTATCCACTTGGCCATGGTGGGCTTCCCTCTTGCGGAGCGATGAAACTTTTGGCCCATTGAATGTCCGTCTATCGCACTATGCTTACAGAGAGAGGACACAATTCAAACGCTATTTTCTATTTTAGGAATCAGTTAGATCGTATCTATAGATGACCTTCAAGTATTACATTAGCAAACATTTGCTCTTTTTTGATTATTTTTTCCTCCCCATCATTATCAGTCATCACAAGTCGTGGTATACCTCCACGTAATTATGACATCAGGCCAATAATTTAAACCATTTTCAAGTAATTATTTTATAATGACCAGATAAAAACAATCTACTGGTCCAAGTCATCAAAGACTCAATCTCTTTTCACCTATCGTCAGATACAAGCGAATACCCCTTCCCATGAACTAATGACATAATACTTGAATGGTCACAAATACAATATTCACCATTAATTAATTAAAATATTCTACCATTTTGTTTATTCCATTGGTCCAATTGTTATCTTTTCGAAGCATGTCCTCATGTTCTCAGTAGTGATGGGCTTCAATAAAAATTGTTATTAATTCACCTTTGTATAATATAATAATAACACAGCAGCGCATCGTCTGTACTTACATATTTTGTAAACAGTTCTTCATCGTAACATTTGCTATATCTTTCGTAGAGATCATCTTTCTAAAATGAAACAATTATTTTATTATAAATAAATTAGTAAATTATGTTTAAAGGAAAATTCATCTCGACTTTACTTCTTCTCCGGCATAAATCGTACAAATCTCTTCTAAATAATCCAGTCGCGAAGATAAACCAAGACATTCCATATAATTGTTTGCCTACAAATAATTAGTAAACTAAGTGATGTATATTTAATTATAATTAAACTTATATTATATTTAACTTACAGCATCGATGGCTTCTTCACTCATGGTTCTTTCTATGCAGTTTATATATTCGATTTTCATTTCCGTATCTAATTCTGTTAATAATTAATTAATTAAAGTATGGATAATGTAAAAATACAGTCATAACTCGTTTTAGCGCCACTCTCTTAGTTATGTCTTTTGTTATGGGAGTTCCTAGTGCCAATTTCAGAGGCTAACAAAATGGCGGTGCTGTATCCAGGTTTGACTGTACGATTTCTTGTTTTTCTGATATTTGTATATTTTTACATTTACTATTATAATTGATTTAAAATTTACAAACTTTCACGTCTAAATAACATTATTTACTACAGTGGAAGTTAGTTCATTCGACATTAACAGGACCGAAATGGTGCCAGATTACCAGACGTTTTTGTACTTTCGTCAAATTCCTGATACTGCTGTACTGTACATTTTATAGCAGAGTATACTTTAAGCGTGCAGTTTATTCTAATCAGTGTGGAGATGATATAGTGCATATTTGTACTGTGATAAAATAGATTGAAAAAGAATTAAAAACGTTAGTGCCTGGGTCTTTAGCCCACCAAGTGTCCAAATTGGCGGAATATTAGCGTGCTGGATTGACGAACTACAGGTGAGTTTTTTTTTATCTTGAGACAATGAAATAACTTAAATGGATCTCATTATTTTGGGAATAAGGTATAGACAAAAGTTGTAGGGTTTCGAAGGACCAATCAATTGGTGACCTTGAATGTGACTTTGATCTTGACCTTCAATGTCATTTGAGGGTCAAGCCTGTTTTTTTTTTTCAATAAGAACACATATTTTTGATTCCGGCGTTGGAAAGAGCGGGAAATTTCACAACCGGATATACCTTTGACCTTATGATCTAGATCAAAGGTCAAGATTATTTTAAGGTAAATGGAGTAATAAAAAGTATGGTTTCCCATTAGAAAAAGCTTATAATTTAAACTTTAAAATAATCCTGACCTTTGTTCTAGACCAGTGTTTCTCAACCTCTAACAAATCGTCGCCCCCTTCACCACAAAATTCCGATGCCGAGGGCCAAGGCTAACGCCAAATTCGTACTGCATTGAATAGATTAGTGACTGGTATAATGTTATCTGTTTAATTATTGTACGATATAACGAATAAAATATCTAATTATTCTTAATATAATGTTTTACTATATCGCCCAGAAAATTGTTTTTCGCCCCCAAAATATAAATTGTTACTAATCGCCCCCTTAACACGGAAAAACGCCCACTGGGGGCGATATTGCCCCGTTGAGAAACACTGATCTAGACCATAAGGTCAAAGGTATATCCGGTTGTGAAATTTCCCGTTCTTATCATTGCCGGAATTAAAAATATGTGTTCTCATTGAAAAAAACAGACTTGACCCTCAAATGACACTGAAGGTCATGGTCAAGGTCTCCAATTGATTGGTCCTTCGAAACTCTACAACTTTTGTCTATACCTTTTTCCCAAAATAATGAGATCCATTTAAGTTATTTCATTGTCTGAAGTTAAAAAAAAACACCCTGTAATTGTAATTTTTCCCTAAAAAATATTAACATAATTAATGTTTAATTAATTAATAATTAATAATTAAACTCTTTACCCTCCAAGTTACAAAATGCATTAGAAAAAGTTATTCTTACCACAAGTTTTTTGGCTTATTTCCATTCTGTCAAGTGAATTAACCAAAAAGCAAGTAATATAAATGAAAATGAAGATGGAAATTACTGTCTTCATGTTCACTCAGTAGTCAAAGAACCCAACTTTTCTTAATAGTGAAAAGGAAATGGAATGATATAGCCTGTAAGTTCTACTGGATTTCTTTAATGAATTAAGGAAGTTGTTATCTGAGAAATTTGATTGTAACGATGTTATTATAGAAACTTTACAATAAACACGGTGAAAATATTTAAAAATTTTGATTCTCGCTTCTACGACTTATCGGTCGTTAAATGAGCCGCAATTATTCGTAAGCTTAGTGTCGTAAATTAGGAATGTGTTCTTATTTTGAATTCTCTCCGATTTCAGTAAATCATCGTCTAAGAACGTAATTGGGAGTGTAAAGTTTTACCATGGAAATTAATTCCCTTTGTTTAAATTCAGTTAAACAAATCAATTAATTCAATTTGAATTTGTGCGTGTACACTATATTCTCACGATTAAAAACGCCAGAAAGAAGTTGCTTAACTTTCCCGGCAACATTTGGTAGCGCCATCTGTTACGATATTTTATTTTAAAGTTTTTATATTTTTAACTATTATAAAATGGCAAAAAGCTTAATTTTCAGGGTATGGATGGGTTTTATAAAAAATTGTAAATGCTAATAACGAATAAAATCGTCATTAAATTTGATCCTATTGGAGATACATACGACCCCCCCTTTAAACGTCAAAATTTAACTGCATCGATCCCCTTAATAAACAAACTGATTTATCGATAGAGAAATATTTATTGTCACTTTAAATTAAATGCATTTTGATTAGAAAATAATCATTTGATGCAGCATTATATATTTACATTACACATTGATGTCATCCCTAACCTTGTAAGTTATCCATTAATAAGTTGAATGCAAAAATACTATAAACATGTAAAATTGAACAAAGATTTTTTACTTTTAATATTAATCTCGTTATTAAAATATGTCTCGGTGATTATATTTTTGGCTTTGAATAAGAAAGTATCATTCGCCTCATTAACGTATATTTCTCGGCTACTGTTCATGTAGGAAGTATGAACATGCACGTTCTCCATTCGGAATTTAAAAACTGTCCTCCCGCTATTATCTATTTACTGTCAAACACACTCGTAATATCGGTTAAGAGAACCTTAAATGTTAATTAAATTAATTGTTAGATTTAATGAGAATCTACATCATTTATTTGCTTACGAAACCTTCTTTAATGTTTTACAGATATTTATGTTAAAAATTTCATTTCATATATATTTAAATTGAAGAAAAATTTTAATTATATTCAGATCTGATATCTTTTAACACAAAACGATTAATCCAAATTTCGCGAAAGTCCCGATCTGAAATAGAAAAATTTGTATTCAATACAGTATTTAGCACACTAAAAACTAAAATTATAAATACCAGAAAACATAAATAAATTATTATTAGTTTTGTTTTCTTTGTGTGAGCCAAAAATTTCATTTTCTCTACGATATGTGCCGTAAGTGAACTCACTTAAGGCACATATCTTAAATAAATGCAAAACTTTTAGAAGTAACCAACAGTCGCGTGCCATGTTAATTTCCTCCTCCTCTTCTCCTAATTATGTCATCAGGTCAGAAGTTTAAACCCTTCGCCAATACACAGGAATTATTTTACAACAATGAGATAAAAATAATCGATGGGTACAATCTTAAGTCATCAAAGACTCAATCTCTTTCGCCTATCGTCAGATACAAACGAATACCCCTCCCCATAAACTAGTGAGTAATACTTGAATAGACACACTTACGATATTCATAATTAATTAAAATATTCTACCATTTTGTTTATTCCATTGGTCCAATTGTTATCTTCTCCAAGCATTTCACCACGTTCTCGAAACTGACGACCTTCAATAAAAATTGTAATTAATCCACCTCTATATAAAATTAACACAGTAGAGCATCGTCTGTACTTACATGTTTTCTAAGTACAACTTCTTTGTAACATTTATTCAAATTTTTTAAGACGCCAGAATATTTCTAAAATTAAACAATTATTTTATTAATTAAATTGGTAAATTTTGATTATATTCAAAGGAAAATTCATTTAGACTTTACTTCTTCTTCGTTAGAAATCGAACAAACTCCTTCTAAAAAGTCCAGTGACGAGGTAAAACCCATACAGTCCAAAAACTCATCTGCCTACAAATAATTTAAGTGGTGTATATTTAATTATAATTAAACTTATATTACGTTTAACTTACAGCATCTTTGTTTTCTTCACTCATGGTACTTTCTATGCAGTTTAAATATTCGATTTTCATTTCCGTATCCAATTCTGTTAATAATTAATTAATTAAAGTCAAACCTCGATATAGCGTCGTTCTCGTACATCGCTAGCGAGTGCTCGTCAACGTATCTATTAACATTAAATAACAGTATCCTTTGTTACTAGAGTTCTAATGCCAATTTTGGGAGCTAACAAAATGGTAGCGCTATATCGAGGTTTGACTGTATATATTCTTTAGTTTTTCATTAGAAATAATTAAAAATAATATATTTCTGTGTTTTCAGAGTAATAATTTGTATAAATTTAAATTCAGCTTGTTGAGCGATTGGATGATTATCTACCTAATTAGTTCATTAGTGTTTAATGTTGATTCTAAGAAAAATTAGTCCTGTGTTTTCGAATATATATATATATATAATTATTATTTAAATTATTTGTAAATAAACAAGTCACAATACTTCCTTCCTCTTTCTATATAATGTTGATTAGTTAAGTGATGAAAGTAGGCATAGATCTATTCTAAATAACAATGTATACAACAATTACTACAGCGGAAGTTCGTTAATTCGTCATCTACTGGACCGGAATGGCGCCGGATTACCGATCTTTTTTTTGGTTCTTTTATAAAATTCCGTTTTTTTTTTCTTTCTATAAAATATAAACTTTGTTTTACATACGCAAATACAGTACAGGATAATGTATCGTGTATAATGCACACCTGCCTAACAGGGTTTTGAACCGTGTATAATGCGTTATACAACAACATACCTATCCAAATTGGCGAATTATTAGCGTGCCGGATTGGCGAACTTATACTAGGAATATATTATATAATTTTTCCCCAATAAAATTTAAAATAATTTCGATTTTACAAGATCCGAATAGTCTAGTCACGTGAATTTTAAATTCTTTATCCCCCCAAGTTACAAAATGCGTTAAAAAAGTTGTTCTTACCACAAAGTATTTCGTTTAATTCTGCTCTTTTTTCCAAGGAATTAACCGAAAAGCAAGTAATATAAATGAAAATGAAGATGGAAATTACTGTCTTCATGTTCACTCAGTTGTCAAAGTACCCAACTTTTTTTAATTAATGATGAAAAGAAAATGTAATCATATATAAAGTTCCACTGAATTTCTTTCATGAATTAAGGAAATTGATAAGCGAATAACGTATTTCCTCTCATTAATTTGATTTGCAGGAAATTTAAAATATGCTGTTTTTATAAAATATTTACAGCACACGTCATAAAAACATTTAAAAATTTTCACTTAATTCTGTTATTCCAATAAAAATTTAGATTCTGCTTTACGACCGAATCGCAATTTTCCTTAAGGTTAGTGTCATAAATTGAGAATGCGTTCTTGTTCTAATACAGGTTATCCTCTAAAAGTCTAAGGCTGTGTACACACTAGGCGATTTTAAACGCGCGTTTTAAAGAACCAAGAGTTCTGCATACATACTCAAACGGCTTTTGGCCAAGCGCGCGTTGATAGATTTTTGTTAAAACGCACGTTTTGCGGGCGTCAGCCGAGCGCTTTGAAATATATGTGCTGCCATGTTGTTGTACATTCGATCGCGCGCTTTCGGGTAGAGTGGACGTACGTTGACCGAAATGGAGAACGATCATTTCGATACTGATCTATTTATTGATGAAATCTAAAAGAGACCAACCATCGTCAAATGATTTTATAGATATTTTAAAAGAATTTAAAAACTTGGGCTCATATTATCTTAGTTTTGGATACAACGTCGCAAACATTCCATGTGTCAGTCTATCTCGTAAATCTCAGTCTATCTCGGTGCACCCAAAATTCTCTTTGCCTCTGCCATCGTCTTTTATAGCGACGATGGAGGAGGCGCACACAAGCAATTACCGAGCCAGTGCGTATGCTCCACTAGCGCGTTACCAAAACGCCTAGTGTGTACTGTACTTGGCCTAATACAGTATCTACAATTTCACCATTAAAGTTAAATTCGGCTACATAAATCAATTAATTAAATTTCAATTTACAATGTAGCTATGTGTAATTTCAAGCTTAAAAGTATTTAATTAATCGTGTAACTTCCCGAAAGATAAATNTGTGTACTGTACTTGGCCTAATACAGTATCTACAATTTCACCATTAAAGTTAAATTCGGCTACATAAATCAATTAATTAAATTTCAATTTACAATGTAGCTATGTGTAATTTCAAGCTTAAAAGTATTTAATTAATCGTGTAACTTCCCGAAAGATAAATACCTCCCTGTAAATACAGTTAATTAATTTTATCTTTTCTTCCAGAAATTACACGTTAAATGAGTTGATTATAAAGGAAATAAATTTAATTTTTTTTTAAAATTGAAACACAAAAATATATTAGAGACGTACTTTTGGCATAAAGTCATTCGTGAATTAAGTATGATATTACTTTTAAAATGTATTTAATTATTAGGAACAGTCAAATGAAAGCCAATCACCAGGCATAGGACAGGCGCTGAAAAGTTGGCAACAATAATGTTTACGACTAATAATAACGTCTATGGGAAAGGAGGGCGATGTAATTCGTAAATGGCAGGGTTGCCGACTTTTGCGGTCAGTTCTGGGCGTGGTGATCCATTTTGTTTTGACAGCCTCAAATATGCGGGGGAATCGTTTGTATCCGACGATGGAGGGCGAGTTCTTGAAAACGTGAGCTTTCACCCGTCGTTGCAAAATAATTGTCTGAAAACAGTTCCTGTGTATTTGCAAACGATTTAGATTTCTGGCCTGGTGGCATAATTACGGGAAGGGAGGTACTTTGATTCAGGCCTATGACGAGTGGGAATGAAGGTGGAGGTAGAAAGAAGGGAAATTTTCAGTTAGAAAGTAGCTGTAGAATTAAAGATCTGATGTATTAGTTATACTGAACATTATAACTTTTGACGTGAAAATCACCTGACTTCCGGTCTGAACCGGAAGTTCGTAATACATTAGTTAGTGGAGATCTCTGGTTCCTAAGAGTTCCAAATCTGATCTCGATTTTCATCTATCTAATCTATTCTCGAAATTAACAAAGAACGAAAAGACAAACGGAATGCAGTGGAAATGTACAGGTTTGCAATGTCCAAATTGCAGTCCGATGAACATTTATCAAGAGCAAAGAAAATCTATTTACGTTTTAACTAACGATGAAAAGAATTATTTTCGATAAATAAAGTGCATTAGTTGCAACCAGATTCGATCATTAAGTGGATAATAAATAATTTTATAAAAGAAAATTATAGATTAGAATTAAAATGCATGTAGAACGACAGATTTAACTATAAACTACAAGGGGAAAAGGAAACGTATTATTAATTAATTAAGATAAAAACTTCCTTCGCCCGTTATCGGTATTAATACTCGTCTATATATATAATTACTTTACACTGTTTTCCGCAAAGAGGGGAATTTTCATCGTTTTTAATTCGTCTCCAATTACTAAAATAGTTTTTGTGTGTTATTACGTCGAAAGATAATGAGGAAAATCGCAATATCCATCCTTCTTCTGGCGTATGTTAGTTGCACTTTGGCTAATTCCTTTGTGAAAAGATCATTTCGTAAAGTTTGCGGTAAGTATAATTTACACTTATGTACCTTTTTCTCTTTTCTTCTTGTGAGTATTAACAGAGCATGTTTGCTTAATCATCGTGCAGAAGTGCAACGGGTAATGACCGGGTGGTGAAGGGAGGGCTTAGCCATCCGCAAAATTTTCTTGGATTTTTCTATCTTTCAAATCCCCACATCGATAGAAAATAAATGCTTACCGCTGACGGTCGACAAGGAAGACCTACTGAAAACACACAATTTAATGAACACTTCATACAAATCATTCATATGATTTTATAAAAATGATTCGATTTCGTGTAAAAAATGTTAAAATATAATAATTGGGGGAAGATATAGGTCTATGTATAGAATGATAAGAGAAGAGAGCATTCGTCATTCTTTTTTCTACTTTCATTAGACTGAACCAAAACGAGTAACGAATTATTGTCGAAGGCAGCGACTCAAATTTTCAAATCGCCAAAACACGTTTTGCGAAGTAACGACTCGACCGATTTGAACGAAATTTTGCACATTAATTTAATAGAAGTAATAAAACGGCGTATCGTGGCGAAAAGCCGAATTTAAAAATTTCACCTGGAACGGGAGATGTCGGGGTAAAAGGTTATCCCCACGTTAAGTCAATGAGAAAATTTTAGTTCATAAACTTACCTTCTTGCTTAAATATTTAGGTCATGCTACACAGCAATGATCAGGATTTTAAATTGTTAAAGATAATAGAATAAAACTTCAAAGTATAGCATTAAAAAGCAAATTAAATAGACGAAATAAAATTAAAAATATAGTCTATAAATATAAAAATAGTATGGGACGAGCAAATGATAATCAATTAAAAATTAATTAAAGCTGAAAACTAAGTAATAGCGATGAAGATTGAAAATATAATTCGATAGTAGACGAGAGATTGAATAATAATACGCATGAAAAAGTTAATAATAAACCGTTACAAAAGTTAAAAGTTAAGGTAAAATAATAGATAAAAATTTATATTCATCAACATTTATTATAACGTTTCTGAACCCGATCCTAATTTTACATGGTGGGCTAAAACATAAAAATCCCATTAAATATAGATTCTTAGGGCGCGTAAATCTATCCCTAACTGGTGTCAGACCTGACGTTGATCGGGATTCCAAGATCCACGATCTAACGATCTACAGCCATCCTAAGACAACGAGAGCGGGTTTTACCAACCCGTGCCGAGTAAGTGGTCTTCGGAGATCGACCCCTGGCCCCCGGCTGTTCACACTAAGTACAGTATAATTACAGTGACCATACGTCCTTTATTTAAGAGGACAGTCCTTTATTTCACTGCTCTGTCCTTTAACTTTATTTATTTTCTAAAATAGGCATTTTGTCCTTTAGTTTGTAAAGTTGACACAAAGTTTAAAAAAATTTTTTTTAATAATATATTGAACAAGTTAGTTTTGTCGACCAGTCGACCATCACGACTAGTGTTGCATTGTTACATAGAGCGCAGTAGTGCAGTGTGTCGCCAACCAAACGGCCCACTGACAGTACTAAGGGGTGGACACTCTTATGGGAATTTTTGTGATAGTTTTTAACTCTCTAGTTGGTGCATGATACACTTGTTAATTAAAGCTGAAGTTATTTGAAAGAAAAAATGAAAGGTTTCTTCCTATTGTTATTAGAAAAGTGGTTTTAGCATTAGAAAAATCAGAAAATATACAAGCCAAAAAATCCAATGATGCTGTGTACACATTTTATCAAACGTGCATAGATTATCTAAATAATTGGAACATGTTTTTTATTGAAATAGAGATGTTTGAATGGGTCACATTATGCGAAGTTCCTTTGTGGGCGAAAGTAGAGGAAAGCTATATCTTAATTTTGAATCATTGGTCCGTAAATATATTCGATGGTGAATTATTTGATGAAGTTTCATGTGTAAAAAAATATGTCACAAACGAAAAGATCGACGAATGGCGACAGAATAACCAGCCCTGCCATCAAAGGTGGATTGAGATTTTTGAACATTTTACAGCAGAAGAAATTGTTTTCAAAAACGTTTGTAAAATCGTAGAATTTTTTTTGTCTTCCTGGATCTAATGCCCCCGTTGAACGAATATTTTCATTGCTGAATAATATGCGGACGAATGAAAAAACCCATTTAAAAGTAAGCACATTAGAAGCATGTATTTCTGTCAAATACAACTTTCAAATGAACTGTATGGAATTTTATGACTTTAAAGCGTGAAACGGCGCTATAAAAAAA